GCTTGTGCATGTTCCTGTACACCGGAAAAGGCGATAAGCGACATCCCATCAAGAATTACCTGAAAAAATGTGAGGCAAACGATATTAACAGCATGAAACAACGATCACCGGTAGCAAAATCTCGAATCTAATATGACACATTACCGCAATAAGAATAACAACAAAGAAACATGAAGAAAAATGAAAATACAGCGTATGCGCACACTTTGACTGGGGCGGCGTCTGCCGCGCTCCGACGCTGCCCGTTTGCTCCTGCTCAAATTCAAATTCGTCCACTGAGTGTCTAGTGGGGGGGAGGACGACTATAACTGTTAGACCTTTCTTTGTTGTGTTGATTTGTGTTGTTGATTAGATTTTGGTGTTCTGTTGAATGTAATATGAATGTAATATGCCTAGGAATTTCCTACGCAATAAATAATAATAATATCCTACTAGCAAGTGACCTAGTTTGGACTATAGCAAGCAGCCAAGAATCGTCCACTCAATGTGTCTATCTCCCATCCACTCCTTTTGTGCATATCGCTCATCGCAAGTCCCTACATGAAAACGTGCCTCAGCTTATTAAAGGACGCAACGTTGTGTTATTTTGAGCATCTAACTTCCTCTCGCGCGTCGCTACAACACAAACTTTTCGCTGGTGAGCCCTTTTTATACTCTCATTCTGCGAGGGTTTTTTATCACCTCTCCAAAAACATATTGTTGCGAACATCACAGACGCCATTTAGATTTCCGTCCAACAGACGCCAAATGACATCAGCTTACTAAATAGTTACCGCCACTTGCTGAAGCAGGCAATCGCTTAGTCTGGCGCCTACCTCTGGCGCCTACCAAAGGTTTAACCGCGTGCCAAGTTCTTGTTTAAGTATCTCCGATCTTTGACGTCATACTTTCCGGTTTTTTCCTATCTCTCCTTTTTATCGATGCTTAGCTGAACTTGCTAAAGCTTCTGAGATGTGTATGAGAGATTTGTATTACTTTTGTGTATTGCTTCTCTTCTCGCTTCGACCTTTGGCTGTCGATGTTTGTTCGCGAAGCACTTCAGTTTGACCCGTACTTTCACTCGAGATGTTCTTTTCAATATCAGTTTTGATGTTCGTGTATTGACCATTTGAAAGTCGGTTATTTTACGGGTTTTCCTCCCTTTTTTTGTACCTTTGCCATTTTCAGCTTTTCTCAGCCTAAGAATCATATTCTTCTTTTCACTCATACATACAAAAGAGTAGGTCATGAGTCACCGTTTAGATAGACTCCAGACTAAGCGACTATTTTGTTCAGCTGCAAAAGGGCGCGAATTAACGTTAATTCTGCGCGGGACCTACAGCTGAAGCAGGCCTAGATTAGCAGCAGACATTATTTCTGTGCGCCTTTTGCAGCTGAACAAAATAGTCGCTTAGTCTGGCGCCGACCTTAGGCACCCGCCATAATTGATCCTCTTGATTCGCTTAGTCCACTTGATCCGCTTCGTGCAAAACGCGGGCACTCAGCAGTCGTCATTTGGCGCCGGGCATAGCGGATTTGCTTAAAGGCAGTAGACAGGCAAAATGGACCCCTGTCAGATTTTGGTAGTTTCGGGTAGTGGACCCCCCAATTACACCGTAGCCCCAACCCCAACTTCCAGTTGATGCGCTAAGTCCTGAAAAAAGCGCTTCAAACTTCCACCAATAACGCCCACTCAATGGAAGTGGGCGGGGCTGGTGGAGTTTTGAAGCGCTTTTTTCAGGACTTAGCGCATGAATTGGAATGTGGGGTTGGGGCTACGGTGTACTTGGGGGGTCCACTACCCGAAACTACCAAAATCTGACAGGGGTCCATTTTGCCTGTCCGCTGCCTTTAAAGGCAGCGTGCACCCAAAATTTCATCTTCGATGTTTTTGTCATTCGGCCCTTCCGTGCCGCTGATTACAGTTATGTCATTGAAATCCTCCAAAAGTCCCAAAAAACTCCGATTTCCGGGGACCCTCTCCTCAGGGGCGGACGAGTTTCGAAGTGCTCGTCCCCGTCGGTATGCCAGCAGCTGCAACAGCATGACAGCCTGCAGTTGCAACTGCAACTGCATACGCTGTCGTGGGTCGCCTGAAGGAGGCGCACCGCAAAAAGCAACTGCACTGTTGCAACTGCAGTTGCAGATGCAACAGCATTGCAACAGCAACATCAGCGGCAACTGAAGTTTACGCTGTCGTGGATTCGTCCGGAGGAGGCGGAGTGAAAGATGGGGCGGAATGAAAGAAATTCGAGGGGGTTTTCTCGGCTCAGAAGCAACATTGGGAGACCGGACCAACGCAGTTGGTCTTCTTCTGGGCCCAGTATATAGTATAAAAGATCTAGGAAATTCTGTAACTTAGATTTTGGGTGTACGCTGCCTTTAACCATACGAAACTCCTTTTTACCTACGCGGCGCCAAATGACGATGCTGAGTGCGCGCGTTTTGCACGAAGCGGATCAAGTGGACTAAGCGGATCAAGAGGATCAAGTATGGCGGGTGCCTTACCTGCAGGAGCGAATAAAGCGATGCAGCAGGGATTTTGGTTAAAAACGCGCTATCTTTAGTTTCAAAAAATGCAAAGACGGATTGGCAAGTGGACCCTATTTTGTATTTAAATGGAACCATTTAGATACAAAATAGAGTACAAAATCATGACTTATAATAAGCCGCTTATTTGTCGGTCTGTAAGTCTGTCTGTTACGAAAATACAGTGACGAATGATTTACAATACTTTGCATGTGAGTTCTGATATTGAGTATGGTTCATTTTTAATCAAGGCTCTCTCACCGCAGTCAACCTGGCAATAATCTAAAAGAAAGCCTTCACATCGTAAGCTTACCATCGTTTCTTGATGGCTAGTGCGAGCCTCTGCGAAGCAGAGGTGAAGTACTGGTAAGGCTCCCGCCAGAGTGCCGAAGTTATGCCAACGCTACGCCAGCGTCTTGATCGATACACTTGTATTTCGTTGGGGCGGGGCTAGCTGACGTCCCCAACGAAATACACGTGTATCGATCGAAATGCTGGCGTAGCGCTGGCATAACTTCGGCACTGGCGGGAGCCTAACGAAATAAATGCAAATAAAAAAACCATTTTACTTTTCGTTTTGAGAAGATGACTACAAGAAGTATCCACCTAAACTTATTCAGGTAAAACATAATGCCAACTCCCGTGCTGCATATAGACACGTGAATTTGGACTTTTGATTTGCACCTTGCGCAAGTGCACAGAAATGAGCTACTTCGCTAATTCGATATCATTATGATGATATACCGGAATCGCCGTGAAAATAAACCTCACTGTACGACTGCAGCGAAATGATATTTTAACACCTTGACGACCGCGCCATTTTGGGCGAAACTCACACTAACGTCCTTCGCGCATTTGGCCCGTGCATACGCGCGGATGCACGAAAACATTATGTGGGAGTCTTTTTGACACTCAATCATAAAACATGCGAACTTTGTTCAGCCATACAGGTACATCACAGAGCCTTATCAGGACTTACACAAACCAAGGTTTTTGCATCGATTTTCCCTCCAATAAACCATGCAGTGGCTATATCTGAGAAATCCTTCTTCGAGAAAAGCGTTGTAATACCAGGTGTTTTTTGCCTTATTCATCCTTGTTTGCTTTCAAAACAGCTACACAGGGTTTCCACCTTCTCGGAAAAACGTAACTGCCATGTATTTACCACATCAAAAACGAACATACTACCCAATTTTGCGGCTAAAACTTCTGAACAGCTGCCGCGATGCCCTGTGTTCTGTAAGACAATCAAGGCACCAATAGTGTTACTGCTTACTGCATGAAAGTTACCTCAAAGCTTTTCGTTTACACTCAAAAAACTGGCGTGCATATGCGCGGATGCATGAAAATGCTAAACGGGAGTCAGGGCGTGCATACGCGCGGATACACAAGGTCGTCAACGTGTTAAGGTTGTGGAGAAAAGCGAACTCTGTAATTAGAAAGTTTTACATTCTCTATGATAGTAATGGAGAAGAAAATACTTTGTACGGATTGAGGTTGTACAAAATAGTCGAAAATAAAGTCTTTAAAGTAAAGAGCTCTGTTTGTTTGGAGCAGCCGATGGAAATTGGGTGTACACCATAGGTATGTTAGGTGCCAGAGTAAGCGCGAATATTTTGTTCAGCTTCGCTCAGCCGCAAAAGGCGCGCAGAATTAAAGTTGATTCTGCGCGGGACCTGCAGCTGAAGCAGGCCTTGGCAGCAGTAGGGAGGAGGGCAAGCGTTAAGACGACAAAACGTGCAAAATGCAAGCGACGTAAATCCCGTAACTCAATTTTCATTGGCGTCGGGTAATGTATCGGCCCCGACCCCCACCTCCCTGTTTTTGGCGGAGGAGACGTTTTGCGCGGGGAGCTCTTTGGGGTCCAAAAAAAATGGGTTTGTTGCCTAACGCCCTACACCCTCTGGCACCTACCATACGTCCTAGAGCTGCCGGGAGCTGTAAATTGCTCAGTACCAGTTTTGATCGCGCAGCTTTCCAACTCACCTGAAAATATTCTAAATTTGGTTCTTGTTTGGATGTATTCTGCTTAGTCTATATCTGGGTTAGGCTCGTATTGAACTTTACGCAGCTAAACAAATACCTCGGGGAACTAGCATTATTATTCAGCTTTATGTCCTTTTCAGTTGCTGAATAATCGATCATACTTGTTCCAAACATTCTTATCAGGTAAAGTGGAGTACGAAGAAGGGCACATTCAGAACTTTTGATTTGAAGGCAACACGTTACTAATGGAAAAAAAGACTCTCACAAGCATATTGTGCTGTGAAGTCCTCACCTTTACAAACGTCGCACTCCAGCTGCTAAAACAAAGGTGAACAAATGCGCACTGCGTGGGCACTGCTCAAGAGTGAAGCAGATTATTTCCATACTTCTCATATATACTTCTGCAACTTATTCGAATCCGTTTCTTGAATGATTATTATATTATGTTTCCATTGTTATTCATCGTCTTTTGAGTTTCTCACGTACGTCTTATTCTCAGCTGATTCGTTGTAGGTGGCGGTGCATGTAGCGTAGAACACTCTGACGATTGTTTGTATATGATGGCGTCGAGATCACAACTTGTCAGATCAGACAGTAAAGAATCTGTACTATCGCTAACATCTTGTGTTAGTGGCGTTGGGAACTGGCAGGTAAGATTATTTGAGTACTAGAAATCGTAGTCTCATTGATGGTTAGATTTGCCTTTTGAAACATTTTTGCAACTTATTAACTTTTGTGAAATTACTTGCATTTTTGACTTTGCTAAGCGCCAGAAATATACAAATTACAGCATCCACCTTGTTTGAATAGAAGTATTGATCGTCACTTTGGATTTGGAAGAGTACAAAGAAAAAGTAGTTTGATAGGAGTAAAGGTCAAAAGTGTATCCTCTTGCAACTTTTTCGTGCCAGAAACTTTTTTGGTGATATAGTGCTAGAATAGGGTGACTAACTGGCGTTTATACTCAGGTAGGTGACCGTGCACGAATTGATCAGCGCAGCGGAACGGTGGCTTATGTTGGCCCTACCAAATTTGCACCGGGTGAATGGATTGGTCTCATACTGGACGAACCTACTGGGAAAAATGATGGCTCCGTACAAGGATATCGATATTTCACTGTAAGTTCGTAAATTCTTCGTCCTATCGATTTCTATGTATTTTTACATTTTTTCTTTCCGTTTTGCTGCTACTGCTTGTGTTTCATAAAAAGATATGATTGATAGAGAAGATAGCTTGTCTTTTACAGTGTAAAGACACTCTACATGCAAACTTATGCATTTGCGGAGGATGATTACACATCTCAAAGAATCAAAACATATGTTGTACATTTGATGCGCGCAGTGGGTCATACTGTTCTCATTCTTCTTTGCGAAGCGCTCGATAAATTAGATAATGCTGATTTTCGTTTTGCTCTTATAGCCTTGATATTGATATTTTCTTTACACAAACGGCAATACGACCCACGATGGGTCGTACGTGCACTGCCCTTTCGGACAATACGACCCACCGGTGGATTGTGTGCTTTCTGAAGCTTTTGATTTTTGCTATTCTACAATGAGACTTTTTGGGTAAACTGTATAAACGTCTGCTTACATCTTTTGAATACTTACCGAAAGAGAAACGCTTCGAACCATAGGACCGTCAGTGGCCAGAAAATATTATGCAAACTCATTATTGCGGAATATGCTCTGGTCCGAAATGGAGTCACCGAAAAATCGGCCTTTCGTGAATATATTAACTCAAAAAGGACCGCTTCAAATCTTTTATTTATGAAGAAACAAAGTATTTGAAAGTCCTTCTGTGGCCGTATTCATCAACGAACCCAGTGGGTTCCAGAACCCACTGGATAAGATCGGTATTCGCAAGTGCCCCTCTGAGTTCGTCAACCCATGACGTCACCAATGTGCCTCTCTAGTCGGTGTACTATTTTCCTCATTTTCCCACGCACACGGATTGCGCTAAACCAAAAGCGTCAGCACGCTTGCCACGCTTTCGAGAACTCCCTGAAAACGGGTCGCGAAATTTTTAAAAGTTACCTACATGGGTTATGAAATTGTGCAAATGACTTCTGCACTTGTAAATAATTGAAATATTTTAAAATTTCTTAAAAATTCGTTTTATCCTTATAAAAAACTAGTTGACTTACTCGGCTCCGCCCGGCCCTGTCATTATTATATTCGTACAGCATGCTCAATTACCCCACTGTCCCAACTCCCAGCCCCGTAGCTCAAATTTTGCAAAAAATTGATAAAATCGATATCGATCGATGACGAAAAGTAGCCTATGACACCCGCCCGGTCCCGAAGTGTACGTATGCAAAGTTTGGTCCGGATCGGTGGAGTGCGTGGCTGACACCACCCACCTTCATCGGAAAGAAATTTTTGTCCCCCCCCCCCCCCCGATCCGAATTCTGGGTACGCCGCCGCAGCCTATATAAGGCTCCCTCTTTAGCCGCAGCAGTATCTGAAAAATACCGAGATAGTATGCACAAACATCAGAAAATGCATAGGTGTTCACGCTTTCACCAAAAATTTCCGCAACATCTTGTTTGCGCCTTTCAAAGATTGCCAAATTGTGACTGGCATCAAGTTTGCTAGTCCTACATCTTAGTGGAATATCTTATCAAAGTTTATCCAACAAAATTCCTGTCAGTCATAATAAATATGGAAAGTGTTATTAATGTATATGTGTTGCAAGGAGTAACCGTCCCTGCTTATATAAACCCACACAATATTCAGCAAAAGGGCTGGTTTCGCATGTAACCTACTGAGGAATTTGCACCATGCTTGAGTTCGCCAACCCAGCGCTCAGTGGGTTCCGGAACCCACAAGAACTGGGTAGTTTGTTTCGTGAATACCGGTATTCTTGACTTTTGGGTTCGTTCGTGAATACCGGTTAAGTGGCCTTTTGTGGTTCCGGAACCCACTGGGTAGGTTTAAAGGCAGCGGCTGGCAGAATGGCGATTTTGGGATATTCATTATTCTCGATTCTCCTGGATGAGCTAAGTCCAAGACTGCGCTTTGCGGCTTCAAAAGATATCAATGACCCGCTTTTCCAGACGTGAAAAGCGCTATTTGAGGGCGGACCGCGTAATTGCCTTCTAGAGCGCGATTGGCTCGTGGGTACGGTGGATACAGTATCTCCACTCACGAGCCAATCGCGCTATAGAGGGCAATTACGCGGTCCGCCCTCAAACAGCGTTTCACGTCTGGAAAAGCAGGTTATTGATATCTTTTGAAGCTGCAAAAGCACAATATTGGACTTAGCTCATCCAGGAGAGCTGAGAACGATGAATATCCCAAGGTTGTCATTCTGCCGAGCCGCTGTCTTTAACTCACTGGGTTCCGGAACCCAACAGTTTCTTGAATACCGATTTTGTGGGTTGAGCCTACCCAATGGGTTGGAACCCACTGGGTTCGTTGATGAATACAGCTACTGAATAGACTCATAGCCTTGCGTTTAAAATTGTAACTGATTGTTGAGGCATTTGTTTACCCGAAGGGTATTGTGAACCTAGTGATTCTCAGTTTTCTCAGTGCACTAATATCTTGCCATGAAAAATTTCATTCGATGAAACGACTGACAGGAATGTCGCTATCAACAAGAAGAAGGTGATGCAGATGTTTATGTAGCAGTTTTTGCGTTGGAAACCTCTTCTTCTTTGATTCTTTTCCTTGTCGAAAATTGCCATATTTTCGCCTTTATGTCTCTTTTCAGTGCAACCCCGATCACGGGTTGTTTTGTAAATCGAGCAAACTGGAGAGAATACTTCTTTCACCTTCACGATACAAGTCACCTGCCCCTGGTGAGGGTGAACCATTGAGTCCATATGCAGCTGAATATGGGTAAGCTAAAACGGTATGTTGCTAATGTTCTCATCATCTCTGCTTTAGGTATGATATAAATGATCGGGTGGTGGTTTCGGGTGGAAAGCAGGGTACAGTGAGATTTCTTGGTGAGACAGAATTCGCTCAGGGAATTTGGGCGGGTATTGAACTGGAACAACCACTAGGAAAGAATGATGGAAGTGTACAGGTTACTAGTTGAGTGTGACAGCTGCTAACGCTTTCTCCACTCTGTTTAGGGGAAAAGATACTTTACATGTAAAAGCCCTTATGGAGTCTTTGTTCCTGCCGCCAAAACGCAAAAGGCCCCTTCGCAAACCCCCGGCAAGATGAAGGTGCGAAGATATCTTGTCATTCCATTCTGGTCAATGTCGTTCAGGTTGTCCATACAAAGACCTCGCTACTTCGGCAGAACAGAAACTTCGGTGGAAGTCAGGAATCACTGTCATCAATTGGACGATCGAGCGTGGCCTCGTCAAGATTTGGCGTTATGCGCAAGCCAGTAATGGTAAGTTTCGTAGTCTTGATTGCATTGAATCCAGCTATATCTGGATGCTTGGTTTCCAAGTAGGCCAAAATATGTCGATTTTTACGTGTTGAAGTTTTGAGTATTGCGGTTTCTATTCGTTTCGGCTGTACCGATCGCACGACTTATTCAAAGTCCTTACGTTTTTATCGCAATCTCTACTCTTTCTTTTTTTTTTCGTTCAGAGTTGCCTGTGGGACAGTTTGACTCCTTCAAATTCTGGAAATACAAAGTGCAGTGAATTTTGAATCTGTTTACGTCTGCGAATTCGATTTACGTCTAAGCAGCTTCAGGCATACCCTGTGGAGACGAGACTTGGTCTCTGTGTCAAGCTAGTTGGCTCCGGTTAGGCCCTATTGCGGGGGCTCGGCATGTGTTGCCTAGGGGTATGATGCAATTCCCTTTATGGGATCGTTCAGACCGCGCACAAAGGCGCAGGAAGGCGCATGAAGGCGCACGAAGGCGCACAAAGGCTCCGTATGTTTGTCTTCATTGATCGAATTGAAAAACAAGCCTTCGTGCGCCTTTGTGCGCCTTCATGCGCCTTCGTGCGGCCTTGTGCGCCTTTGTGCGCGGTCTGAACGATCCCTATGAAGAACAGTCCTCCAGGCGACCGGCGCGTCCTCGTTTCCTCGGCTTGGCTATCGAGCTAATCGGACCGCACTCCTTGTAACAACTCGAAACTCATTTGAGCGAAGCTGGGCCACCCTATATAGCAGCCGAGAAGATGAAGGCGCCTTGATCGCGTGGTCCTAGCGCGAAACAGCCGAGACATAGGTAGGTGCCAGAGGGGTAGAGGAACGAACGCCTCAATTAGGCATCGCCTCCGCGGGCTGCTGGTCCTTTCGTCCTACTGTTGTGCATCGTGTTGGGACCAGTGGTCCGCGGAGGCGGTGCCTAATTGAGGTGTTCGTTCCCCCACCCGTGCCAGAGTAAGCGAATATTTTGTTCAGCTTCGTTCAGCTGCAAAAGGCGCGCAGAATTACTGTCTGCTGCTTAAAGGCAGTGTCCAAGCAAAAAGTCGATTTCGAGATTATGTGCTTGCCTGGGCCTATTCGCTATGCTGAATCCGAAAATCACCACGGAGAGCGCGAAAACGGTGAAAAAAGGCCCTAAGGCAATAAGGAAATTGCAGATGGCCGGGGCCGTTCACACCGTGACGTCACTCTCCCAGGCTTTAGGAGCGATATTCTCGTCCGATTTTATGTCATGCATTTCGCAGTTGGATGGTGGTGATGTTAGGGTGACTAGCGAAAGCGAGAAGATCGCTCCTGAAGCTAGGAGTGTGACGCCACCGCGTGAACAGCCCCGCCCACCTGCAGTTTCCCTCCTCCGTTAGAACCTCCTTGAACACTGCCTTTAATGTCTAGGCCTACTTCAGCTGCAGGTCTTAGCGTTAATTCTGCGCGCCTCAGCTGAACGAAGCTGAGAAAAATATTCGCTTACTCTGACACTTACCATAGTAGAACCATCAAGACACCAGATGACACATACCGACTATAAAGGACTAGATAAACACAATAGGGAACAACAGAATTACCAGCTCGGCGTTACAGCTCAGTCTGAAATACGCTGTTTTTTTTTTTGTTAATTGTGTTGCAGATTTCTGTTTTGCTTCGTAGGTATTGTCGAATTCTCGACGCCTATCCATGTTCCAAGAAAAAAAAAGGACAGTGAATGTCATTTCTCTCCATATCTTCTCAAATGTGGTGCAGATTATCTCAAGCCCCACATCTGCGTTTTGATACTCATATCCGCCACATCTGAGCCTTAACTACAGTATTAGTTACTCTATTTGAATTTAAAATTTTATGCGTATCTTTCATGCACGTAAAGATTCTGTTTTCCCACTTTTCATCAAGAAGTATAACATTCCAGCCTCCCAATCATTCGCACTCAGTCGCAGGACAAAATGCCACAATCAAAGCACTACAGGTGCGTGCTATGCTTTCTTGTCATCAACTCTGCTGTCCTTGATAATTTCTAACCTAGTTCTAATGTGATTGACATCTTTCATCGTTGTTGAGCATTTAACAATTAGGATGCTTTACAAGAAAAGGAGAAGCATTTGGAGCAGCTGATGCGAGAAAGAGATATGGAACGTTCCGAATATGGTCAGTTGCCTGGCCAGGACTCGGAGAAGGTGAGCTACCTTAGTTTTTGCTCCCTCTCTTTCTCTTTGTCTTTCCTTTCATTGGTCCATTTTATTAGTTTTTCTTTAAGATAGCCAAACTGGAGTCTGAAAAGAAAGCATTGAAAAGTGAGCTGCTTGCGAAGGAGAAAATGATTGAAGACTTGAATTTTCGACTGGAGGAGGAAACCATCTCAAAAGATTTCCAGATAGAAGAACTGCAGAAAAAGCTCACCTCCGCACCAGTGGTTGGTTTCGAGCAAAGTGGTTGTGATGATTATTGCATGTTCAGGAAACGGCACCACCTGCCGCTGAGTTCTCATTAGATGATAGCGCACTTGAAAAACGAATGGAGGCTGATCAGAAACGAAGAGATTTGGAGGCCAAATGTGCTCAGCTCGATGAGCAACTAAATGTAAGGGATATGCATTGTATGGATGAATGTATACTCTTTATTGTCAGATATCGAAGCAACAGTCTAACACTCTCGCAGCTGAGATTGCAGAGCTAAAAGCGAAGCTGAAAAACGCAGAGGGTGAAAAAGAGAATTTTATGCGCTCACTGGATGCGCAGAAAGCAACTCATGTCAAGATTCAAGAGGAGTTGGACAATTCGAGAGCAGAACTTGTATTGGTAAGTGTTCTGCTGCTCTTTATTTATTTATTTATTTAATTATTTATTCATGCACATGACGTGCGCTACAATCATCATCATGAGTTAGCGGATCAACTCAACTAAACTGTTAGTAACATTAACAAACACTGACGCTAATCTACCGAATAGGAATTGTTTATTGTAATCATAGGCAGCTTTTCCTCTAATAGATCAGAGTACTGAGTGTGGAGTAGCATATTAGCTATGTGATAGTGCACACCAGTCGGCAGAGTGTACATCGGTGCGCCCTAACACCGGAAGGCATGCCTGGAACCTTCGGATTGACAGGTATACCGACCGAAACCCTGTCGAACCAGGCTTACCGACATAATTAAACTCTGGGCATTAAGAAAAAACTAAAGATATGCTAACTATTTCCCAGTGCAAGCTGATCAAGAAAGGAAAAAACCAAAGCGCCTAAAAATATCGGTATAAACGCGTCCTGCCAAAAGGAATTCAATCTCAATCTTCTATTCCAAGCAAGTCAAAAATATACTTGCTCTTGCTTGTAATATCGTTGGTGACTTGGCAGTACGTAAAATCTCCTTGATTTCATGCATGTAGATCGTATACCTTTTCAAATTCCAATTCTTTTATTGAAAGAGAAATGTTTGATTTAACATCTGCCAGAACAGTAACCAAATCAAATAAATAGAATAGTCCTATCCCACTGGATAATCCATTATTCGATCATACGATAGAGATGACTTTTGCTTTTTTAGGTTAAAGAACAAGCATCAAATGACCGCTTCACATACGAGGAACAGCTATCAGCAGTTAATGATTTGCTTGATGATAAAGTCAGAAAGTTGGAAATGGCAGAAGCATTGGCCAGATCGACAGAATCGGAACTGCAAATTGTGAAAGGTAAGTTTGAATGTGAGCTCCAGAGCGTTTGTTTATTTTGGGTTGAAGTTTCCTTGTGTTCTCGTCTTGAAACCTGGGCGTCTTCGACTGTAAATTGATTTCTAATATTTCTTATGCCGCACAGGGTTGGTATGGTGGAACTTTATTGACCTAACGTTTCGAGCAACTCGTCTTCGTCGGAGATCTGAAAAGGATCGTAGTTCACGTATCTGCTGTACTGTGCGTGAACTACAATCCTTTTCAGACCTCCAGCGAAGACGAGTTGTCCGAACGTTAGGTCAATAAAGTTCCACCACACCAACCTGCGCGGCATAAGAAATACCAGGTTTAACGAGAACACAGGGAAACTATTTGGCTGAATTTCTTTCATCAGTCTTGCTCACAGTTTGAAATTTTAGCTGAGCTGCAATCAGTCCAAAAAGAAGCTGAGAACCAGAAAAAGATCGTTGAGTCCATAACGGCGAATCAAGGATCAGCTGAAAGAGCCTTAACGGAGAGATTAGAAGCGCTCGCGAAAGAGCTACAGGAGAAGCATAAGTCCCTCCTAGCTGTGGAACATGATAAGAAAGTTCTCGAAGAAGCTTCTGAGACTAATGCAAAACATTTGCAAGAGTTGAAAGAAGCGCTTGCTAGTATTGAGAAAGAAAAGAGTAGCGCAGTGAAAACCATAGCCAGTTTGAAGGAGGAAAAGGCAACTGTGGAACAGCATTTGCAGAAAGAACAGAGTGGATTGCAGAAGAGCTTAGCCGAATTCACGGATAAAATTAATGCGATCACGGCTGCGAAGAACGCTGCTGAAGCTGCCTTAAATGAAGAGAAAGCGGAGAAAGAGAAGCTGTCGAAAGAGAAAGAAATATTAGATTCACAGCTGCACACCCTCAGAGACAGTAGCGACACTATTACAAGAGAAACAACAGAACGCCTCGCTCAACTAGAGCAGCGGATCAAAGAAGCTGAGTCGCAGGTAAGCTTTGATTTTTTGCGTTGATTATGTTGGTTTCTTTGTAGAAAAATAGTGGAGATCAATCAGTTTTATAGGGCTTCTCTGCTTACAAGTTATTTTTGCTGTGACAGTACTTCCAAGAATCATTACTTCAAAAACTCTTGAATTTTTGAGTTTAGGCAGCTGAGGAGAAGGCGAATGCTCTCAAAAAAGAGGAAGAACGTTTAGCGTTGACGAGAAAGCTTGAAGAAAATGAGACCGAACGCAAAGCAAAGTTTGAAGCTGCTGCTGCTGAACAAGCTGGAGTGGTAGAGAAGGTTGGTACGAGTACTCTAAGCTAGAATAATTAATATGTCCTCTTTATCACCACTGTCCTTATCTGTTCAGTTAAACTCGTCCCTGAAAGAAGCTGAGTCAAATTGTCAAGCTCTAGAGCAAAAATGTGCTGGATTCGAGGCTAAGGTGGCTGAGCTGGACAAGATTCTGGCGGAAGAACGAGAAAAGTACGGTATTATCATATGTACATCACAGTGGCATACCCAGGTTTTCCATTCCGGGGGGGGGGGGGGACAAAAAGTTTATTCTAATGGAGGTGCGTGGCGTTACGCACTCCGAAGAATGGTATGCTTTGTGAAATTTTCGCGGGCTCATACGCCCGAAACGCCGCTGGTACATCACCATCTCTCACATTGATTTTTTTAGGTTTGAAGCTAGTACTAATGAACTCAAAGGAACTACGACAGCTGAAGAAGCGAAATGGAAAGCTGCTGAAGCAGACTTCAAAGAGAAGGTGAGCTCTGTCGACGAAGTCGAGAGGAAAATTCTGTCGAAGAATTACAACATCTGTTCATTTAATCAATTCTACAGCTTGAGCAAAATCATCTGGCGATGGAGACGGCTGCATCAGAAATTAATGAACTTGCAAAGTTCAGAGAACAGGCAGAAATTGAAATTAGGCAAAAAACGGAGGAGCTGAACAGGTAAGCCTAGTTAGCACACGACATGGTCTACAGAGAACACAGTTTTTGCGGACGTAGACGTGGAAATTGGTAATAATGATGGTATCCTCTTTGCCGAGGATTTGTTAACTGTGAGAGCTGGTATAGGGCAATTAAGTCTAAATCGATTGTTTTTGATGAAAGGGTTGGACATATGCGAGGCATCGTAATGTACTTGCTAGTCCCGCTTTACATGAGCTCGTATATGTAATTTTCCCATTTCCTTATAGAGAACCGCATTCAGTGCAAAATATGGATTCATTTTCAGCGTTACTGCGAAACTACAAGAGATAACTAGCGAGCGTGACAACGCTATTCAAAATAGAGCCGAAGTTGAAGAGCAATTGAGACAACAAATAGAAGCGTTCACTAACCTTCAGAGCACGGTTGGACTTTCAATGCAATTATCATATCCAAATTGTGTATATAGGTAGATGACTTAGATTGATGCATCAAAACTCGGTGAAGATGCCATGGCAAAGGAGTTGTCTTCTGCGCAAGAGCTTGCTGCTCAGAGGCATGCTGAAGTTAATCGTTTGCAAATCCTGGTTCAGAAGTAAGTCCTCGTCATTGTTGACTCAGGACATTTCTCCTGAATAGACTTGAATGTCTTTTAGATCTTTGTCTTCCTTTGTGCTTCAACTGTAAATTTTTAGTCTTGAAGAGAAGTGTCAAATAGCAGAGGCAGCATCATCAGATCTCTCCTACAAGCTTGCTGCAGCTGAAAAACACACGATGAAGATTGAGGGAGAACGAAGCACTGCTATAAAAGAAGTTAGAATCCATTTTTACCTTAGTTTTTTATCTGGACTTTTCAAATTAGCTTCTAAATTTGTATCAGGGATAGAAATGTTTACGACAGACTTAGAGAATCGAATCTGCTTGTCTGATCAAATTCTCATCTTCCATTCTTCCTCATGCTCCAGGCTCCTTTGTTTTCAAAGTTTTCATATTAGCTAGAACAATCTCTCGCACAAGAAACTGCAATGCGATCAAAAGTCGAAGAAGATCTTCGCAGCAAATCGGACGAAGTTTCGCGCCTTCAAACCAATATCGAATCGTAAGTCGATACGATTTGATTTTGTTTTTTACCAACGTATATAGCTTATCTGCCAAATCCCTCGAGATGGAGGATGCTTCAAACAAGTTGCAGTTAGAGCTGGCTGCGAGAATGTCAGAAATGGATGCAATTCGCATTGAAGTTTGTTTTTTTTTTCTTTGTCTGAATAAAATGCCTTTTTTAGTTTCTGTAAAGACCCTTATTTTTTGCAGAGGGACCAAGCGCTACATGGTAAGCAAGCTGCGGAGAGCCAAATCTCAGCATTGACAACACAGCTGCAAGAGTTGGAGAAGAAGTTGGCTGCTTCGAACGAGATCTTGTAAGCCGGATATAAGTTTTATTTACCGCCGCTAGTTTTTTCATGCCTCATTTTCACCAGCACTTCGATATAATAGTTGTGAAGAAGTTTTAAGCTCACATGTTTTCTTTTTTCCTATGAGTTTGCAGGTTTTTAAGCAAGTGTACTCTTTGATTTCTCCCTCACTAGCTACAGTAGTAATGCTTCTTTGTTTTGCTTCGCTTAAACATTTCGGTGTGATACAAAACTCGGTCACTTATAACTTTTCCAGGAAGAAAGAAGCCAAGCATATAATCTCCGAGTATGAAGCTCAAACTGCCCAGCTAAGTGCGGATCTATCGGATGCAAACCAAAAACATAGTGAAGTACGCAGTAGTCCTGAAAGGACTTGTTTTCGTGTAAACATCTACTTTACAGTTGACTAGGGAGCTTGCGCTCAATGTGGAAGATTTGTCTCGCACGAAGACTGAATTGGACAAGTCGTCTAGAGAGTCGGTTTTGTCCTATTTCTTCTCAAAATTACGATAGTTTTGCTTCTTCTCATTTTTGTATTTTTTGTATTTTACTAGTAATGGATTATTTTCATTTCTGTAATCGTCAGTATTTGATACTTTCCCTAGATATGCATCAGATGCAGATGATTAGAGGACACCTTAAAAGTAGTGCGTATGTGTAGTGGTCTTGATCTAGTGATGGTCTTGTACGGGTGCTAAAAGTGATAGTTAGCCCTAGACAGTAGTAGTTATTTTCACCATTCTGTATATCGTCAGACACTTAATTTTACTAGTAATGGATTATTTATTTCTGTAATCGTCAGTATTTTTTATAAGAGGTACTGAGGCGCAAATTTTGAGCCGCGACTCAACTTACTAGTTCAAGAGCCTTTTTCCCATTGATCTTGATGCTCTTGCCGACATCCTATATGATTGTGCATAAGTTCAATAAAGATTGAGTGAATCATCTCATATAGAATCTCAGTGATTTCGAGATTCATTTTAGCTTTATAACCTCTCATCTAACAAAGGCTAGTTTGTTTCCTCATACTAATGTGTAGTTTTTAGGGCTGAGACTTTGAAACTACAAATTGACGAGCTTCAAAGGGAACAAGAACAACTTAGAGAGAGATTAGGACGAGTACAACTTGAAAAGGAAGAACTGGTAATGATGTCGAATTGTTTCTTTTTTTTATGTTGAAGAATGTACAGGAAAATTCAGCGCAATGAGGTTTTTATACAGAAACTAATCTTGGGACTTTAACGAAAGGCACTGTATTGGCGGTTATGCAGATTTTTCATCTATGGCGGGTAAATTCTTGGTGCAGAACTTGCATCGCCTTGCATGCTTTTGCACGGGAACGTTACTATGGCGGTGACAAAGTGAGCAGGGGTGTGTCTGCACACGTGGCGTAGGGTCCATGGGCACGCGCCATACTTGATCCTCTTGATCCGCTTAATCCACGTGATCCGCTTGATCCGCTTAATCCGCTTCGTGTAAAATGAGCGCACTCGGCAGTCTGTCATTTGGCGTCACGTACAGCGAATTTGTTTAACCATACGAGATTGTTGTTTACCTACGCGGCGCCAAATGACAGACTGCTGAGTGCGCGCATTTTACACGAAGCGGATTAAGCGGATCAAGAGGATCAAGTATGGCGGGTGCCATAGGAGATGCCCACACGGGACAGCTGCGCGGGTCGGAGGCAATCTCATTGAGAGGTTAACGACGATTGGAAAATGCTGAAAAATCAGATTCCGCGCTGGAGGTTTTAGCTGACTAAGCAGATAAGTATCTACTTTTACTTTGCAACAGTTTGGATAGTGTGGCTTATCTATGGTTATTGGAGAAATCGCTTATACAACATCTTGTGTCGCACATTATTTGAAGAGACTGAATCGAGAACGCTCACGCATCTGGAGCATAGCTACCAGCTCTTCCGAAATTTTTTGAAGCAGATTTTGGCTTCCATTGACGTAATCCTCCTGGATATTCTTGCCGCATCTCCACTGTAAACCTGCTTTGTTGTTCGTTTCATAGTGTGAATCTAAGTTAAAGCCAGCTTTACATATGCAGTGGAAGTTGCTCGAAAAGCTGTTGAGGCAGAAGAGTTATCAGTGATCAGGCATCTGTCGCGTCTTCATACCTATAAAAATAGCTGACATCCCGGGTTCCACCGGTTTAGAGCCGGTCTATCGTGCTTGACCTCTATCCTTGTTTTAACACGTTGACGACCGAGCCGTTTTTGACCGCATCAAGATGGACTGATGATCTACGACTGCGGTTTAGACTGTTTAACAGCTAACCCAATGCCGTGTGTTCTATATGGCACCAGGCCACCTGTTATCACTGCGTAGAAGTCACCTGAGAACTTTTCGTTTACGCATGATAAATTGATGCATGAAAGTGCTAAATGGTGGTCAGGGCGTGCATACGCGCGGATGACACATTCGTCAACGTGTGAGTTCCGACTCGTCCTGGGTTCGCTTCCTACCGTCCTTACCGTGTCTTGATAACCAGCAAAACAAAATGAGCTTTACCGCTCATCCTTACAATCCTCATCCGTTGGTAACTATGTGGAAGACATACAAATTTTCTGCTTTGTATATGGAGATGTGGCGAACGCATAATTGCTAATGACTTTGCTATACACTGCTGCATGAGAGAAAGCGCGATATCTTTGGGCGCGAACACCGCTTTATTCGCCGCAGAGTGCATCGCAGGATTCATTAGGGTGAAGATACCCGCTTCGTGTTGCGCCCGCTCAACTATCACTGCTTCTGCGCCTTCGTCCTGCAGCAGCCTCTAACTTTTAATCGTCGGTTCTTGACCGCACGACGGTTCAAACATGTTTGTACAATATTGAGAACCTCTCACGGCGCGGCTGAAATGTTGTCGGAGCACGACTTGTACACGGGCGAATTTGTCTGGCGAATTTGTATATATTGAGGCAAGCGTTTCCCTCGCGGCGCGTACTCCCCAGTGATGTTATAATCCGTGCGGTCGGTTGGTCAGTGTTACTAAAAATGATCGCACATAAAAGCCTCTACTCCCTCGTTTTTTCAAGTAGTTGCAATGATCTCGATTCCAATGAGTCACGAAGCGATGCATGTTCTGTACCAAGTGATAGTGTACCCTCTGTCCGCTTGAAACAATACGGTTGGGGCCACCATTCAAATGCCTCTGTTTGGGCAGTGGCTCAGTTAGGACTCCTCAATCTATCTCCACATAACAGTTTACTGAGATCTGTTGGACATTGTCCTTAACGACTTGTTGCTTGGAATCACAAGCTTTCTCCATAATGAGCGTCTTTGTGACTCATACTGTTAGTTAAACTACTATTCAGAGCAAATCTCTCGCATCAAGTCAAAATGAAGGAAGTTTAGCGCTTCAGCAGCTCCGCCAAGAGTTGGAGGCAGCAAATCAGCAGAATGTGAATTATACAAGAGAAAGAGATAGGTTAGAAGTTCACTCATCCATCTACGAATAATCTTTTTATCGGATTCTTTGTTTACTTCTTTTTGTATTCATATGTTTTGAGTCTGCTTGCCGAAATTGATGAGCTTACGGCAAAGATAGAGAGCGGCTCTCAATCTTTCAAAGAAGTCGAACAACGGCTGGCAGTGTCACAGGCTGAAATCGCTCAAGTAAATGAAGAGGTTTGGCTATAATATCTTTCCCAGTTAACTCATTATTGAGCTTTCAGAGGGCTCTATTAGAAGAGCAACTGCAGAATGTATTGACGGAGAAAACGGTGCTCCAGGAATCAAGGAAAGCTCTTGAGGTTGAGATGGTGAGATTCTGTGAAAAGTTAAGTTAGTCCTGCCTTTTTTTTCTTCAGGAATCCACGCGTGACAAGTATGAAAGCGAGCTGAAGCAGATTCAGTCTCAGCTGGCATCACAACCTGGTCCATCTTCTGATATCTCGCAACAGGTATGCTTTTATTGAAGTAGAAAGACTCGAAGAACGTCGTGCTATGCAGATGAGAGATGAGTTTGCTGATGCTATGGAGAAAGTGAAAACTGTAACAGATCAGAAAATGATGCTTCAAAAAGAATTGGAACAAGCAAGAACCGACATGGCTGAGCTGCAGCGAGAGGTAACCTTCTCCTTGCTTTTTGATGCCTTTATTTTTGATTTGTTCTTTGTTAAAATCGTTTTGCGTACAAACGCGCGTGCAGTATTTCTTTGGTATGTCGTTTATCCATTCATTTTATCAGTAGATTCAATGACTCGACATCGACCATTTGACGCTATATCAAAGGCTGTGTCTCGGCAAATTTTGCATTTCCATCTTTTTGCATGTTTTGGGCCTTTTCGACCCGTAGACCCCGAATCTGTGCTTTAGCGGGTGAAAAGACCGCTACCCCCGTTTCCAAAATGCAGCTCGGACGAGAATTTCAACGGAAAGTTGGGGGGCCCTAACGCGAAGTCCTTGCTGCCTGTAATTTTTGCTTTGGACAGCATGCAGAATGCGGGAAAGCGGTCGTGGGGTCCCTCGACGGTAAGCAGAGCCGTCCAAGCGCGCGCCGGTTCGAGGGCAATTTTCTCAGCCCAGGGGGGAGATCAACCAGTTGGACTGCGCCTGGAGGCCAGTGCGATGACCAGAAATCCTACCATAGCAATATCCCCCAGAGCGCGAATCTGCCGGGACCCTGCCTTTAACAGTCGACGACCGCGCCGTTTTGGGCGAAACTCCCACTAACGTCCTTCGCGCATTTGGCCCGTGCATATGCTCGGATGCACGAAACATTATGTGGGAGTCTTTTTGACACTTGCTCATAAAACATGCGAACTTTGTTCAGACATACAGGTATATTATAGAACCTTACCAGGACGTACACAAATCAAGGATTTTTGCATCGAGTTTTCCTCCAATTAACCATGCAATGGCTATAAGATCCCTCCTCGGAGAAAAGTGTTGTAATGCCAGGCGTTTTTTGCCTGATTCATCCTTGTTTGATTTCAAAACAGCTATACAGAGTTTCCACCTTCTCGGAAAAACGTAGTTAGCATGTATTGACTACATCAAAAACGGACTGATTACCGAATTTGCGGCCAAAACTTCTGAAGAGCTGCCGCGATGCCCTGTGTTCTGTAAGACACTCAGGCCACTAGTAGTATTACTGCATAGAAGTTACCTTCAAACGTTCGGCAAACGTTCGTTTGCCCCTAAAAACTAGCGTGCATATGCGCGGATGCACGAAAATGCTAAATGAGAGCCAGGGCTTGCATACATGCGGATACACAAGGTCGTCAACGTGTTAAGGGGGCGCTGACTGAGTAATAGCTCAACTCCCGCTGCAAAGGTCGAATTTTGAAGTGAGCAAATCGCTTCAGAAAGTGAAAATGGCAGTGGTTGATCCACCCATCAACATGCGTTGTTTGGAGATAGCAGGTCTAAAATTAGGCTAAAATGTGCCCAAAACTCGAAAAAAAAGATTTTCTACAATTCTGACACATTCTGCCCAGTCTTGAAGTTGTATTCGTAGATTACCCGCGCTGATAGGCGGAGCGACCACCGTCACCACAACATTCTAGATTACTCTCTTCTTTATTCGCTTCGGAAGTCATCTTCCAGAGCGGGACTTGGCCAATCACTTTGTTAGGGGTCTCGCTAATATACAGCAACAATCTGATCACCCTCAATTTGCGTGGTTGCTGCCTTTGAAATGCTGCTCAAAATTCATATTAACACGTTTCGGACCGCGAAATCGCGCGCGGCGAAAAAGAGTGTACTTTCGGCCGTTAGCCTACAAAGGGACCTTATCTCGCAGCCTGTGGGCCACATTTGTAACCAGCATGTCAGATAAGCTCCATACCCAAAGTTCTGAGTGAATTCGAAGTGTTTGAATTTTGTCGCTTGAGAGGGACTTTTGTGCTTTCTTGAAAGATAGGAGAAAGAACTCAGTTTCAAATAGTAATCAAAAGTATCTATGATATACACTGTACACATCATTATTGAAACCACGGTTTTTCCCTTTGAAATCGAAGCAAGGAAAAGTTGCGACGTCGCACGCGTCGTTCGCGTCGCCGCACTTCGTTGTAACTCTTGTTCGTTTTGTCTCCATATCTCCTGAACGAATATGCGCGCACAGCTCTACAGAGTTATCTGAGAAGAAGGAGCTTAGGCCTTTGACTCGATAACCTTGGACAAAAAGAAAACCTCCTGTAAACGCCTGAAAGATCCTTCAAAGCAGCGTGCTGCACCATGTGCAGCACCGGTCCGAAACGTGTCAAAACAACATATCTTTGCAGACAGTCTCCCTTGAAGCAATTCTTATCCTTATTAGTGTGTTGATTTAACTACAACTTAGGTGACCTCCCTTCGACTTAACGAAGCAACCGCCAGTGTAATGGCGTCCGAAGCGAGGCAGAAAATGTAAGGAAGTTTCTGAGATTTAGTCAGTGCCTGACAAGCTTAGTATGTATTGTTTTCAGTGACCTCTATAACGAACTCGAACAGGACTGGTTGAGAAAGCAGCTTCGAATGAGCGAAAAGATTGAGGAATTGAGCCTTGAATTAGAGCAGGCGAAATTGCGAACCGAAAGCGAAGAAGTGGATGCATTGAGGAGAGAGGTTTGAATGTTCATTTTGTCTTTTCCTTTTTGGACAAGAAGTTCTGCCTGCTTATAGCTTGCTTTCACTCATTCCATCATTGCTGATCAAAGAAAAAAAGAAGCAGCTCTGATGGAGAAAATTGCTGAGTTAAACAACCTCCCAGCTCAAACGTGAGACTCAATTTTTTCTCCTTCCCTTCATCTTTCGCTTATCAGCCAAAGTGCTCTACTTTTCCATTGCTTTAGAATAACAGCGGAGACTCATCGACTTTCGTTTGGTCACCGTGAAGAGAAACCAAGATTGTATTGTGATATATGTGAAGAGTTTGATCAACATGAAACTGAGGTAAGTTCCGTTTTGCTTTTCTAATGTTCTATCTCGTCCAACGAAAATGAAAGACGTTGAAGGAGTTTACAATAACAAAGTAATGCAGCTACGTTTGTTTGAATGTTTGTAAGGGTTTTCGCAGCTTCACGTTATTTACGAGCTCTTTATCAGTTCCTTTTTGATAGCAACACCGAATTTTATGTTGCTGATTATTTTCTCCTTCTTTGCTGATATGGGGCTTATTTCTAGAAAAATAGAGAATGTTTGAGTAACTGAATAACCTAAGAATAGATTAGTCAGCACTCTGAAACTAGCATCTTGTGATGGAGAGGGGCTTTTCAGATAGTGTTTGTAACTTGTCATTTCATCGATAGAGGAGTTGAAACACTAATTTGACATAGCATGCATGATTCATGAAAGGCCCCTACCCTTCTGTTGAGAAGAAGGAAGAGACCAAACAGTTACAGGGTACAAATCAGGTTTCTATGAATTCCTGTCGATGTCGCTGCCTACCTTTGAGTCGTGGCTTGGCAGTGACTCGCGAGATAGGAGCGTTTCGCGCTGCTCAAACAAGGGGAGGACACAAGCACAAGTTGGCGATTGAAGACGATATGTACATAGAGCATTTTTTGCCGAAGACCTCTCCGATTGAAGTTATGAGCGTTTGAATGTCCAAATTTGTCAAGCATAAGTGGCTGAAATTTGCGAAAAGCTCTAAGAAACATCTATGCGGATTTTCACTGGTTTTGTTCTTTCTTTGCGAACGATATACTTAGTACTAAATTAGTTATCCACTTTTATATGTTTCTTTACAGCTTTTTGCTAATTTTGTGCCACCTAGAGCTTGACGAATCTGGACGATTAAACACTCATTGATTCTTTAAGGAAATAATTCCGCAAAAGAGGAAAGCAGATTTGGAATTAGCGTTCAAGGACGCCTCTACTCATATGCATCACGTTTTCAATCGCCAGCTCATGTTGGCGTCCTTTTCTTACAAGTCAATATCAAGTGCAGTGAATGTATTAGGTCGTTCCGAAAGTAATGTCGCTTTTTTCAAATGAGGCCACATATTATGGAATCAAGATTTTCAAGAGAACTTAGGAGCATTCGATGCAGCATTTCATCCTCTTTTTAACGGTTGTAATTTCATTGCATAATTTTCATTGAGCTTTCGAAAAATTAACAAAATCTGCAACTCATGCTTTTTGCCATGGTCAAGTTCAGCAATTTTTTAAAATTTTTGTACCTGTTCTCCGAAGAAGAACAAATGGCACGTAGATAGAGCAAACCCTATAGGACACAGAGTAATTTTTTTCTTTTCCTTAGCTTGCTTCTTAGAGTTTCTGGAATCAGTTTTAAAATGCCATTAAATTCCATATTTGGTCAACTCAAACCTCACAGAACAACAATCGGCAAGCAACTCGGGTGTCATTCGACGCAGCTTTTTCTCCTCTTTTTACCAGTTGTTTTTGATTTCCGATTCATCAAGTTTTCCGAGATAAAATCATCATCATTCAGCTTTTGCAGGGCGCCTCCGGCTGTACCCGGAATTTTCGAAAGTTGCTAATCTGAAGCGTAAACGCCATTTGCTTTGTAAAATTAGTGTAAAACCATGATCCATTTTTGTAAGTTTCAAAATCCGACGATTTCTTGATGTTTGATGCATTTGTGTCTGAGACGAGTCTGCTAAAATTCGGTGGTTCCATCAAAAAATCTATACAGAAATTAGGACGAGCTCTGAAAAATAGAAAAAAGTTGTGCTGTTTCCCGTAGGGTTTGCTCTATCCATACATAACTTGGACTCCTTCCGGGGCTTGTTATAAAAATTTGGAAAAATTGTGAAACTTGACCTTCTCGAAAAGCATGGGTGGCAGATTCCGATAATTTTCGCAGAGGTTATTCAATTCTGTGCTGTAGTTATCTAACCATTAGAAAGAGAATGAAATGCTGCATCAAATGCTACCAGAATCTCTTACACATCTTTGTTCCACGAAATGTGGCGTACGTTTAAAAAAAGCGACATTACTTTCGGAACGACCTAATATCTTTGTTGGATCACCTGAACTCCGGAAGAATTGCTTAGCAAAAATCTAAGTTGCGAACTGCATTAAACCTTATCGCTTCGTTGCCCCGAGCTTACTAGAGTTGATGATCGTGTACCGCTTGCATGCATGTAACGCTTTCCATTTGGAGCAATAAGTTTACAGGAGGAATCAACCCTCTATTGTTGGAGTGCGGCTTTTTCATCGTTACACTTTGAACACATCACGTTGTAGGACTGTCCAAAGCAAATTTCTGAGGAGGAGATACGGCCAGTGACGAAGAAAGCACCTCCACCACCACGGGACTATTGTGATTATTGTGAAGGTGAATTCAAGATGTATTTTGTCTTCTGTTCACTTCCTGCTTCATTTTAGACCAATAGATTTCGAAAGTCGTTTCATTTTCACAAAATTTGCTACTTTTCCCTAGGTTGACGAAATAGCTTCTTTGTAGTTTTATTAGAAAGCAGAAGTCTTCTTCTTTGTAAACGTGTCGTGTCGAGATTCTGGTATGCAGTTGCTGCAGAGATAAAAATGGAAAAATATATTAGAATTTTGATCATTTTGAGTTATGTCGCTTAGTATCTGGAACGTTCCAGAAAAATCTAAAATCGGTATATATCATCGACTTTACGATTCGTATAGAGGCGGGGTTTTGCCAATTTAAAGCGCGTGGCGATTTTTGATAGCGAGAGAGTACGAAAAAGAATGCTATGAGGGAAGTGGAGGTTTGACAGATTCATCCTTAAAATCAGGGAAAGTCCGTAACCCGCCTTTACACGAATCGTGGAGACGATCATAAGTCTTATTATGTACTCTTTGCAACTAGATAAATTTGTGCTGTTTGGAGGTCTTTGTGAAAAGTCATATTTCGAGAAAAGTGACAAATCATGAACCTTGACTTTTTTCTGTAACCTAAAATTCATTCCACAGAAAGTTCACACAGCACAAACTTTTTTTCATTTGCAAAGAGTAGGTCATGAACTTACTGAAAAAGTACTGATCTTATATATAAAGCTGAATGTCTGTTTGTCTGTATGTCTGTATGTCTGTCTGTCTGTATGTCTGTGTGTACGTATGTTCCGAATAGAAAATTCCATTTCTGAACCGATCCGGACCAAACTTGGCACACATACACTACGGGCCCCGGCGGGTGTCATAGGCTACTTTTCGTCATCGATCGATATCGATTTTATCGATTTTTATCGATTTTTTTGCTGAGTTCACCTACGGGGCTGGGAGTTGGCACAGGGGGGTAATCGAGCATGGGGATTCCGAATACAATATTGGTTTTCAGGATTATCGATTACTTTTATCGATTTTATCGATTTTTTTGCAAAGTTTGAGCTACGGGGCTGGGAGTTCGCATAGGGGGGTAATCGAGCATGGGGATTCCGAATACAATATTGGTTCTCAGGATTATCGATTACTTTTATCGATTTTATCGATTTTTTTGCAAAGTTTGAGCTACGGGGCTGGGAGTTCGCATAGGGGGGTAATCGAGCATGGGGATTCCGAATACAATATTGGTTTTCAGGATTATCGATTACTTTTATCGATTTTATCGATTTTTTTGCAAAGTTTGAGCTAGGAGGCTGGGAGTTGGCACAGGGGGGTAATCGAGCATGCTGATCATCCCCAAGGGGGGTGATCAGCATGCTCATTACACCCCTGTGCCAAATTCCAGCCCCCTAGCTCAAATTTTCAAAAAATCGATAAAATCGATAAAAGTAATGGACGATCTTGAAAACTAATATTGTATTCGTAATCTGCATGCTCGATTACCCCCTGTGCAAACTCCCAGCCCCGCAGGTCAAACTTTACAAAAAATTGATAAAATCGATAAAAGTAATGGACGATCCTGAAAACTAATATTGTGTTCGTAATCAGCATGCTCGATTACCCCCTGTGCAAAATCCCAGCCCCGCAGGTCAAACTTTACAAAAAAATTGATAAAATCGATAAAAGTAATGGACGATCCTGAAAACTAATATTGTATTCGGAATCCCCATGCTCACTTCCCCCCTGTGCCAACTCCTAGCCCTATAGGTGAACTCTGCAAAAAAATCGATAAAAATCGGTAAAATCGACATCGATCGATAACGAAAAGTGGACTGTGACACCCGCCGGGGCCCGAAGTGTATGTGTGCCAAGTTTGGTCCGGATACGGCGGAGCCGGGTAAGCCAGCTAGTGATTTCATAATTTTCTGCAACGTTTCAGATTTTTTGGCTACCTTACTCAAAATAATTGGAACCTGAATGGTCTTCCCTTTCCCATTCTATCTCTGCAACGAATGTGTAATAGAAGCTTACCGAAAGACCTCTATAAAGAGGAAGACTCTTTTTCCTTTACAAGTTCCCAAAAATGAGACGATGGAACTTTCGGAACACCCTAATACATATAAAGTACCTTGGCAGTGCATAAAAACTTGTATATCTCAGATGGACCATGACTAGACTCAAGTGGCAGCCCATATACCCTTTGATTTAGCTGGATCGGCGACTGAAGACGGGATTCGTGAGCTAATTAAGGCTAGGTTATCAGAAAGCACATTCGACACAGACTGCATTTACAGTGATCGCCAAAAAGTTGCGGACAAGCCGCCTTTCTTTTTTCATCGCTCATTTTCGGATGGAAAACAAAGATGAAAAAATGACTGGATTGCATGATATGATAGGGCTCTTCAAGAGCTACAACCCACACATTGTGCAATCTGGAAATTGTGTATTCTGAATATTTCAAAATCTTTAAAAGAAAGCCGAAAATGGCGCGTTACAGGGTCGCGGACAATAATTCTTCGAACGCGAAATTTCTTTTAGATTTTTTTGCAGCAAAAACAGAAATGTTTCCTACAGATGAGCATACTATACTATAGAGCTCATCGAGAACAATAATCATTTAGTGGTTACTTCCAAAAAAAGCCCAAGCTTGATTTTATTTTGCTTTTTTTTATCAAGAAAAACAACTCCCAATTACCCTTTTCAGGCCAAATTTCTCCACATAGAAACCCTTTCAAGACATTGCAACAAAGCTATTTGGATAAAACGTATGCTCTTTGCCATCCTCTATGCATCGGACGTGGCTGGTGGGTTTCTTTGTTGAAAATGGCTCTTGACGGTGCGTGCACATGACCCCACCTGTACCTCACCACTGACTTGCATCGCTTTGCAGACTTGTAGCTCGGCCTAGGCTCAGTCGAAAGAGCGTGACTTCCTTGACACGGTGGTATGCAAATGAGTTGAGTTTGAGATTTTACGGATGGGGTGAAAAAGCGCAGCCTAGGAGGTTAATGGAGTGAAGGCTCTTATCAACAATTGAACAATCTTGGACCTCCGAAATGGATTTTTTACAAGAAAATTGACAGTTTTGAACTAACTGGATGGAACTGATGGCGAAAGGAGCTTTGCTGAACCTCAACCTTGGTTGAACTGACAAGGGAATGGTCAGAAGTCGAAGTGACCAATCCGTACAAGCTGTATACCATTCGATGCAGCATAAAATGCTGATTTCAAATCTGTCTTCCATAATTGCAGAGCGCTTTTGTAGGCGAAGTTATGAGCAGCTTTACTGCGAAAAAACCGTATACAAAAATTGCGAAATTAGCACATTGTTGCTGTTTCAGCTCACCTCCAGGTACGGGTCATATGGACTGGCCTAGTTGCACGTTTTGGTCCAACACTTAGTCGAGAATGGCTTCGTACGGCCAAGTTTGCACTTTACACGCACAATTTCTTAGCAAAATAATGGTCTTCAACGGCTTATAATTTCGTCCACAAAAGCGCTCTGCAGATAAGGAAGACAGATTTAGAATCAGCGTTTTATGCCGCATCCAATGGTATGCAGCCTGTATGGATTGGCCACTTCGACTTCTGACCATTCCCTTGTGAGCCTGCCACTGAACCTCGCTTTTTCACCGCCTCCGTCAAATCCCCGGTATTTCTCGAACTCAACTTATTTGCAAACCATCGTGTCCTGGGGTGGGGGGGGGGAGACGTTACGCTTTTTCAAATGAGCCTATATGTAGGCTGCTAGAATGACTGCCGGCGAAGCTACAAGCCTGTAAAGTGATACAGTTCATCGATGTTGTGCAGGCGAGATCCTGTGCAGCACTTTCAAAAGCCTTTTCCAGCAAAACTTCACTAGCACACGTCAGATGCATAGATGATGGTTAAGAACATTCACTTTATCTGGAAAGCTTTGTTAGGATGTTCTGCATCAGTTTTTAGGTGAAGAAATTTTGGTTCGGAAAAGGGAATTAAAAGTTAATTTCAAGAAAATGCAAAATAGAATCTTAGCTTTTGCTTTTTTAGGAAGTAGCCATAACCAGGTTATAGCCCTTGTTGAGCTCTGCATGATAGTATGCCTATTTGTTCGGATTAATAAAAATTTGGGGGGGGTGGGGGGGGTTGAGGTCGTGGGCCCACAAAAATTTTGGAAAGCATTCCAAAATTTTTTTCGGAGTACGTGGCGTCGGCCACGTACTACTCAGAAAAAATTTGTTGTCATCCCCCCCCCCCGGTCCGGAATCCTAGGACCGCCACTGTTGTATGCATATCATTTTTGTCTTGCTTGTCAAATTGAACTCCCTCCATATTTTTGCCCAGTACCGCCTTGAGGACGCTAGTTGTCCGCTAAAGTACGGTACTGGGCGACAATAGATTTGGATTTTTCGGTCATGAATAAATCGCATGGGTTATCTACTGGATTTTGATTGACCGGTAATCATTTGCGCTCATGATTGTTTTAAAATGCTTTTTGCAGCATTTGGTCATGATACGTTTGCTTGTTCGAATCATCCACATAAGAAGAAGAAAGACTACACGTTTTGAAAACCATTGATTCTTTTTCCATTGATTCTTCTTTGTCTAATCTATGTTTTGGTTATCATCTTAGGTTCCAAATTGCTCCTATTTACTAAGAAATGCATCTCAAGTTCGTTTTATAGCATTTTCATTATCTTCCTGTGCATTATGAATAGCTTTGTAGCACTGGCTAAATTGTGAAGCCATTATTTCCACCGGTGCCATGTTACTTCCTTATAGAGTCTTATTAGTAGCTCACCTCATCATCCAGTCAATAACATGATCTACTTAACTTATATGAGTTATTCACTTAGTCTCTTACACAACTTGTCCTCTGCTTTCATAGTGTCCTTTCGAATGTGTCCATTCACGTTAGGGTATGTATTAGACGAGATTAGGTTGTTTGTGCCTTATAATCATGTAAATGCATATGTCAGTTTTATTGTACATGTTTTACTAGTATACCTCCTTGTACGGATATGAATACTGCATGCAATTGTAGTTTTATGAAGTGAAATTTTTCTCAGTTATCATTTGCATCTAAATCGTTATACGGAGACAAGCACTACGAGGAAAGGTAAGGTATTGAAGGCAGTGGCCAAATGGACCCTTTGTGGGATTTTGGTAGTGTTAGTTAGCACACCACACAAGTACAGGGTACCCCCAACCTCATCTTCCAATTCATGCACTCAGTCCTAAAAACGCTTTTCGAAAGTCCACCGATCGCCTACTATATGGAAATGGGCGGGGCTGGTGGAGCTTGTAGCACCTATTCAAGACCTCGTATGAAATGGAGTTTGGGTTGGAGCTACGGTGTTCTTGGGGGGTCTACTACCTAGCACTTGAAAAGTCTGATGGGGACAATCTTGCCGCGCCACTGCCTTTAGGGACTGCTCTTTGAAGTTTGACATGGTAAGAAAGCAGATAAGAGAGACGCGGAAAAGAGAACTTGCTATTTTTCAAGGAGGTCTTCGCTTTTGCATATTCGCATAATCGTAGAATCCGCACGAACATTCAAAGATGAATGTCGTGTTCATCTCAATTGATACTTGAGTCCCGCTTTTCCGGTATTACACTGAATTTGTCGTCCTTGGTTAATTTGGTTTTATTTTAAGATCACGTCGGATTTTTTTTTCTTGAGGGGAACATCTGGAGATTGACATATGGTGTAATCACAACGAAAATCTCACTCGTGGCGACTCATAAATTTCTAGGAACCCTGCAAGGATTTGTCTAAAACTTCAGGACAGAATATTCTTTTCGAGAATTTATGAGAAATTGTCTGCTCTTGTGAGAAAAAATGAGTTTGTAACATTCTGGGGCTAGGATTCTACACTCTCACTCGTTCGACTAATACGTAGGAAGATACTTCTGTTTTATTTCAGTTCGAATGACATGAATTAGAGTAAAAAGAAGCTTGAGCTCGTCACTCATGCGTCTGCGGAGCGTTTGTGTCAGCTTGGAGTCAGTCAGTCAGAGAACAGATCATTTGTTTTCTTCAGTCGAACGCTGATTCTAAATCTATGTTCTTGCTGTGCGACTCCCTGAACGAAGTTATAGACTTTCTTCCATATTGATTTTGCAGTCAAAAGATTCAGGCAGATTTAGGCAGTCAAAATCGTCAGTATCCAGGGTTTTTAGACTCTGATGTATTGGTGAAAGTTTTCCTGAACTTAACGTGAAGCTTTACTTTATCTGTGCGCTCTTTTGCAGTGCGCAAGCGAACATTCTAACGATATTGGTGAATCCTGCATCAAAAACAGTGCAAACTTGGGTGACAAGAAATGTTCATAACTTCCTTCGGAAGAGCGCAAAGTAGATAATGAAAACAGATTTGGAACCAGCGCTTCAAGATGCATTTAATGGTAAACGATTCCTTTCAAAATGCCACGGTCACCAAGTATCCTTTCCTTGTTAGACCGTCCCGACAGTTTCGTTTATATTCGAAAATCGTAAGTTCTTACCTTCGGGACAGGTTTGTCCATTTCTATTAGGTTGTCCCGAAAGTTTTGTCGGTTTTTTCAAACCACTGCGAAACCATGCACAATAAAGAACTGAGTGAGTTTCAACATGCATTCGATGCAGCATTTCCTTTTCTTTCTTACGGTTACATTTTCATACCACAATCTTGTATGCTTTTTTTTTGATAATTGCCAAAGTTCTCCACCCGTCAACCTTTACCTGCTCAAAGTTAGGCTTATTTTTAAAAATTTCATTCCGTAGTTTCGAAAAGCGTTAAGTTTGGATCAAATAGAGCAATTCTCGGACTACAAGGTATCATTTTTTGATTCTCCTAATCTGCTGTATTTAGCTTCAAAAAATTGTTTCTCCGGAGGCCTCGAGTTTTGGCAAAGTCATGCACGCAACTGCATCAAATACACGAAAGCTTTCGAAGTTTCTGCTTATTGAAACATGATTCTTACTAAACGTTATTTATGCAACATAACCACTTGATTCGCTTTGGAAAAGCAGCTTTTTGGAATTTTTGGTACTTTTACTTGTTAAACTTAATTAAAAAGCCGCGGTTTTTACCAAATAAATATTTATAACGGACTTGGTAAACGCGGCTCGTGTAATCTAAAATAGATACAGTGTAGCCAAAGGTTTGCTCTACATAACACTTATCAGCGTCCTTTGGAAACATCAGAATAAAAAATTTTAAAATTCAGGGAAGATTTGGCGTTATTGCTGAGCTGCTCAAAAAGCCATGGCGATAATATTGCAAAGACAGGGTAGATCGAGAAGCAAGTATAACTGTAAGAAAGAGAATAGAAATTTGAATCAAATGGTACCTAAGCCGTTCATGGATTGCTGTTCTGTGAGTTTTAGTGAGCGATGAAAGAAACCGACAAAACATTCGGGACAACCTAATATATTTGTTGGGAAGAAAAGTCTTGTTTTGTAAGTGTTTTTTGAGGTGATTCCATAATGGAAGAAAGACACTTAAGTTTTGATCATCCTGGGTCAGGTCGCCAAAAATCTTAAAGGTGAAGAAAAATCCGTAAATATCAGTAAATATGTTTTACACCCGCCACTTTCCTGAGAAAAGTTTGTTTAGATTGGAGTCGCCGGAAAAAATTTTGATTTCAAGAGAAGACGAAACAATCAAGTTTTTTTCTCACTGCAGACTCGAAAATTGTAGTTTTTCATGGACGAATCCGGCCAAAACAAATTTTTTTCAGTAGCGAATCACTCCATTATAAAAAAAATAGCAAAGGAAAAGTGAACTTTTTTTGCACCGCCCGTTTTCGTTGCGTGAGCCTGGACACCGTACCCCATTCCCTTTTGAGTTTGATAAAAAAAAGGCGATTGATGCGCATAAACATTTTGGAAAACAAGGTGTTTACGTGGATTGGATTTGCTCAGATATTTGCCGGGGCAGGCGGCTATGCGAATTTTAAGCAAGCGGGCACCGGAAAAATAGTTTACCGATTTCTTCCGGTCCGCTTGCAGAAATCTGGAATAATTTTGGCCAATTTTTGGACGAACGCTCGGAGAACTATCGCGGTCTTTCCGTGGATAAGTTGCGGCACAGTAACCGCATTCTCGCGATCTTTCCGCGAGAATATGCAAAATTGTTGGGGTCGCACGGTCCTTTGTGGAGGACCGCACTGTCCAGGGTGCCTTCCGTTGGAAGAAGGTACCCCAAGCTTGGCTAATCAAACCATCGATGACACCTCTGCTACATAGAGTCTCACCTTTTCTCGGCGTACGCCCGAAACTGCGTAAAAAGAGTCCGAGCGCTTGCTGAAAATTTGGCCAGCGCTCGCTGAAAGAAATTATTTGCCGAACGCTTGCAAAAAGTGCTGTATTGCTGCCTGCTGGCAGAATATGCGACCGTAAAGGAAGTGCCGCCCGCTGAAGGTTTGGCCACGCCTCAAAATTCTGCTGACCGCTTGCAGAAAAGCGCGAGTTTGCGGACCGCCTGCCCCCGACGATTATCTGAGTGCCCCGGCGATTATCTGAGTGCTTGCGGGGAAGTTCGAACGGTGTTATCCTTGTGTACGCGGCCCAAAATTTCAAAGTCGTGAATTTGGCTGAGATTTGGTGATGGAGATCACAAATATTACATTCTTTTTTCACAAAAACGTCGTTTGGTGGGGCAACGGTGGGTATAAGTAGAAGAGTCAATTCAGTTTTGGCTGAAATTTGGTTTGGGGGTTTTCTGAGGTACTAATCACGAATACCATATTCTTTCTGCATTCTGCGGAGAGCTTAGTCTTCCATAATCTTTCGAACGAACGTACGCCGGGCCCTGCGGTTTTGGCACGAAAGATGAGGGGGACACTGTGAGTACACTGACTAGAAGTACATTGAAGGAGGAGGAGGATATTGTGACTTTCTTCAGTAAGCTTTTGAAAAAAGGGGGTTTTCAAACGGCGTAGTTTCTTGAATAAACGTACAATACACCAGTTAAGAAAAGCCACAGAAAAGAGAGCTACGTGAAGGATGCTGTACGGGAGAGTCTAGAGAAAAAGCGCGAGTTGTAAGGTGTGCATTTCTATTCTGGAGAATGAGCTTCACTAAACGCGACATCTTTCTTGACTCTAAACATTCTTCTGCAAGCAGTCGTCCTTTCGTCATTAAAACTATATGCGCACCATGCCTTCCCAGCAGAACTTTTCAATCCAAACATCACTAGATGAAGTTTATTAGCTTTTACGGCATTGAAAAAGTGTTAAACGACGCTTTGGTGACTCAATGCAACATTTCTCACACCTGCTAGCCATTGGGCCGCTAGTAGTGTTCAAAAAACTTACAAAGTTTTTTCTGCAACGTTTCGGATTTTTGGCAGCCTAATCAAAAACGATTGGTTGTGTGACCCTCTTCTCAAATTTTATCTCTGCAGTGTCTAACGAGAACAGCTTGATAATCGCTTGACTTTTCTTTCTAGCAAGTTTAAAAATAGACAAATCTTTCACAATGGTCAAAGTCACAAGTTCTCGAATATGAACCAATAACCCTTTTGGAAGGCTTCTTATCTCGAGAGATCCGCTTTCTTTAGGATGAAAGATCAGACCAACGACTATAGATCAAAACAATAAATGGAAATTTTTCTCTGGGATGTCTTTTGGAGAATGGAATATCCTCACGAACACTCGTTATTGTTAACGCAAAGCGTTTTGAATAATCGCATTGCTCGGACTGGACTACCATGCAGGCAAAAACTGCAACATAACTCATCTGCTTATCGACTTATCGGTTCAGACAATTAATGTGATGCTTAGTGAATACTTTCCAGAGAGGAAAGGCAATGCCAGAGATAAGGCATGTTTCACTGCGTTCCTAGTCCAGTCATCAGTAACGGGAATCAATACACGACTAATAATTTATGAGCATTTCTAAGGTGTGTTGGCTTTATTTTAGCTATAATAAGAAACTTTAGTTGATTTTTTGACAATGGCTATCTCATAATAATTCTAATTTTGTTCCATTCAACGCTAAGTTTTGAGAGATAGTAAAGGAATTTTCGAGCTGACCACAAAATGGAGGAGGTCGAATAATTGATTGTTTGTCGATTCTGCGATTTTGGCTAGAGTATAACGCAATCGCTCATACAACGGTTTTCCTTTTCAAGAAGATTTTTTGTGCTATTTCTATTTTCTCCATTTCCTCATCAAAGATATTAGCTCAAAAATTTTCCTATTCCGCTCAATTTTATCAATCTATAAATCATTCTTATAATTTCAAATGAAAATAATTATGATTAATAAACGGACACACTTTCAACCTCATATATTCGATTGGTCCGAAAGTTCTGTCGCACCATCTTCAAAAAATCGCAACTTCTTTGTTTCACAATAATCTTGCATGTCAAAAATACATGTGAAAAGATTAAAGCATACACTTTCCAGTGGCTTGATTGCTCTCTAGTATGCTTTCCGCAGAGGCAAAAATGGTAAATTGAAATCTTTTGGGGTGCGGCGATTTGAGGAGGCCCGTTAAAAATTTAAAAAATATGCACTCAAGTCCAAAACAGCCATTGCCATAGGTTTGCTGACCTCCTTTTGCTATGTGAGCAGAATTTGTGTTAATCGAGCCCTTTTAAGTTATGATTTTTGCTGAAGAATGCCAAAAAATCAATTTTTTTAGAAAACTGATTTTTGGCATTTTTGCGCAAAAATCATAATTTTTTAGAGAAGTGCTCTGTTAGCACAAATTTTGCCCATATAGAAAAAGGAGATCAAAAAACCTCTAGCAATGGCTTTTTTGGACTTTAGTGCACAGCTCCTGATTATTAAAGGCAGTGGATCGGTAAAACTTAACAACCCACGATTTTAACGCATTAGGTTCCTTATCGTCCAAGTATGAAAACAGTGCAATCCCGTTTGCACAGCATGCCCTTCCTGTCGAGAAACTCTCGAATTTACACGCGCAAGTCAATCTTACACGCACCCGGACGAGTTGGCAACTTCCCTCTCACCACTGGAGGCTGCCCGCCGCAATGCTATAATCATTGGGTCTTGCAACGATTCAGCGCCATCAGCCTTGGTCCACGTCCAATCTTGAAGGGAAAGGGTTGAAAGACGCTCATTTTCGCCGTTTTCGAGCTCTCCAAAGTGTACTTTCGTGGTTAGCGTATTGAACGACCCCAGGTAAGCGAAAATTTGACTAGGTTGAGATTTGCCGAGCCACTGCTTAACGGGTCTCCTCAGAGCCGAACCTCAGAAGATTTCAGTATTCCATTTTTATCTCGGCGACGAAAGCTCACTAGAGAGCAATCAAGATGCCACTGGAAAGTGTATGCTTTACTCTTTCCACTTGTATTATTGACGTGTATGATTACTGTGAAACAAGAAGTTGCAATTTTTTGAAGATGGTGCAACAGAACTTTTGGACCAACGGATATAAAGATGAATGACTGTTTGTCTGTTTGTCTGTGCGTACACATGTGCGAAATAGAAATTTTTATTTCGGGACCGATTTGGACCAAACTTTGCACACATACACTTCGGGTCGGAGAGCGTTTTGTAGGCCACGGTTCGTTTATCGATAGATCGATTTTATCGATTCTTTGCCTAGTTCAAGCTACGAAGCTGGGAGTTGGCACAGGGAGGTATATGAGCATGCTATTACGAATACAATATTAGTTTTAAGAGTTATCGATTACCTTGGTCGATTTATTGGTTTTTTGCGAAGTTTAAGCTACGGGGCTATGAGATGACAGAGGTGTGCGAGCATGCTCATTTCGAAAACAAAACGGGGATTGAAATTGGCATGTAGCGTGGGCACAGGGAAAGGCTGTACCGTGTTAGAGCTGGGACGTTTATCATAGAGTCTTAACAAGCTCAGGCAGATCCGGGTATGTCAGCTAGTTATCCATAAAAATGGGAGAATATTGCGAGATTATCAGGTTCTTGTCTGAGATTACACGTTTCCAAGTTTGCAATTTTTTCCAAGACTTTTGATTACTGTAGCCATCCTAATAAAAACTGCTAAACGTCAACTTTCTGCTTCCAAATAGCAATGAATATCTCTCCACTTTCCTAACTATATTTCTTTTTGCAGAAAGCTTTTCAAATATTTTTCACAAAGACCCAGTGAAAATTGAAATTGCGAACTTACTGGGTCTTCCAAATGTGAACCAAATTTTGAGCTTTTAGTATTTTATTTCGTTCTGCACTTGGTTACAATGAGAAACCAGCCTAATAAAGTGCGGTTCATAATTATACGAACACCCAAAATTTTGTAAGTTTTCGGACTTTCTGGGAGAAACTCAAAAAGCCGTTGGTACCACGCGATAGAGCACAGCCGAAAACGGTATATGATCCATAAGAATGGAAATCGATGTCAATCTTAGGAGTGTTTTTGCGCCTAATGCGAATTTTCAGCGGTTCATAATTATACGAACACCTCAAACAAAGGTCCATTTTTCATTCAAGATTGCAATCACTTGAGCTCAAATTTTTTGTAGAGTTACAGTAACAAAGTCTGACATATCTGCTACACACTGAACTCAGTGCAGTTCAAAAAGAGGACCGTTATTTTTTTCAGAAGGTCTAAATGCTTTTGGAGTGATTGCGCTCCAAAAACATCCGTTTTTCTGTGGTTTACGCGCTCTAATTAGCTTATATCAAAGCTATGAGATAAAATAAGCTCTTTCGATAGATATTTTGTTTGACGCTTGGAAAATCCTTGCGTTCTGGTGCCGTTTTTCAACCAAGTTCCAACCTTACCACAGAGTTAGCACGATTTCGAGCCTCAAAATTCAGCTTCTGAAGCCGTACAATGAAGTAAGCTTATAGTATGTAGAAGTTCACAAGACTGTACATTTGGCTAGAAAAAATTAGCAGCGTTGAGCGTTTGATTGGCCACGCAGACGTCATTTCACCAAAAACACTGCTTTTACTATTGTAATCACACCTTTATTTGGTTTGTAGCTCCACAGCCTCAAGATCAGTTCTCTAAAAAACCCAAACACCTTGGCACAGAAATCATGCAAACAATGCAGCTGCTTCATATCAAATGTTTGCGCAAGAAAGAAGCTGTATTTTGAGGCTCGAAATCGTGCTAACTCTGTGATAAGGTTGGAACTTGGTTGAAAAACGGCGCGAAAACGCAAGGATTTTCCAAGCGTCAAACAAAATACCTATCTAGAGAGCTTATTTTATCTCATAGCTTTGGTAGAAGCTAACTAGAGCGCGTAAACCACAGGAGAACGGATGTTTTTGGAGCGCTCACTCCAAAAGCATTTAGAGCCTTCTGAAAAAAATAACGGTCCTCTTTTTGAACTGCACTGAGTTCAGTGTGTAGCAGATATGTCAGACTTTGTTACTGTAATTCTACAAAAAATTTGAACTCAAGTGATTGAAATATTGAATGAAAAATGGACCTTTGTTTGAAGTGTTCGTATAATTATGAATCGCTAAAAATTTGCATTGGGCGCAAAAACACTCCTAAGATTGACATCGGTTTCCATTCTCTTAGATCATATACCGTTTTCGACTGTGTTCTATCGCGTGATACCAACGGTTTTTTGAGTTTCTCCCAGAAAGTCCGAAAACTTACAAAATTTTGGGTGTTCGTATCTTATATATAAAGCCGAATGTCTGTTTGTATGTATGTCTGTCTGTATGTCTGTCTGTCTGTCTGTCTGTGTGTACGTATGTTCCGAATAGAAAATTCCATTTCTGAACCGATCCGGACCAAACTTGGCACACATACACTTCGGGCCCCGGCGGGTGTCATAGGCTACTTTTCGTCATCGATCGATATCGATTTTATCGATTTTTATCGATTTTTTTGCTGAGTTCACCTACGGGGCTGGGAGTTGGCACAGGGGGGTAATCGAGCATGGGGATTCCGAATACAATATTGGTTTTCAGGATTATCGATTACTTTTATCGATTTTATCGATTTTTTTGCAAAGTTTGAGCTACGGGGCTGGGAGTTGGCACAGGGGGGTAATCGAGCATGGGGATTCCGAATACAATATTGGTTTTCAGGATTATCGATTACTTTTATCGATTTTATCGATTTTTTTGCAAAGTTTGAGCTACGGGGCTGGGAGTTGGCACAGGGGGGTAATCGAGCATGGGGATCATCCCCAAGGGGGGTGATCAGCATGCTCGATTACACCCCTGTGCCAAATTCCAGCCCCCTAGCTCAAATTTTCAAAAAATCGATAAAATCGATAAAAGTAATGGACGATCTTGAAAACTAATATTGTATTCGTAATGTGCATGCTCGATTACCCCCTGTGCAAACTCCCAGCCCCGCAGGTCAAACTTTACAAAAAAATCGATAAAATCGATAAAAGCAATGGACGATCCTGAAAACTAATATTGTATTCGGAATCCCCATGCTCACTTCCCCCCTGTGCCAACTCCTAGCCCTGTAGGTGAACTCTGCAAAAAAATCGATGAAAATCGGTAAAATCCACATCGATCGATAACAAAAGTGGACTGTGACACCCGCCGGGGCCCGAAGTGTATGTGTGCCAAGTTTGGTCCGGATACGGCGGAGCCGGGTAAGCCAGCTAGTAATTCATATACGAACACCCAAAATTGTCCGGTGTCCCCACTTTATATTCGATTCAGCCTTTTTTTGCCGAGATTATTGTCGATAAATATTATGCACCTACACTTATTTGATTATTCCTTATCATCAAAGTGTCAAAGCATAACAAATATTCCAGTTATGGACGTTTTCTTTCGAAAGTGAGGTTCGAAATTTTATTGAAAAAATTCGAACCAAGTTGCAAAAAGAAAGTCGTGGTATTGCACAACTATCCCTTATAAAGAAATAACTTATGGGCACTCTATTCGTCTGGAACTAGAATTTATGCTAAGAAAGCAAAATACATCTTTTATCTTTTGAGTAACATCGTGAAAGGAAAATGTTAACGGGAGAAAATCAAGAATAAGGGCACGCAATGCTAGCAAGCGGGTCAACTTTTATGCGAAAAAAAGATAGAAAATGAAAAATGAGGCATTTCTTTAAGAAATCTATCTAGAACATCTAGAAAAAAAATCCTTCTATGGGCAGACTAGCATATGCTGACTAGGAGAACACTTGGAAGTGAAAAATCTGCCAAGTTCAGCTACGAGACGAGGACTATGCTGATTTTGACGACGATGATGAATGTTCTGCTGTTTACGAAGTACCGCTGAATAATGAAGAAATTACTAACAATAAGGATAATGGAAGCAGGTACGGTAGATTTTATCACTAGTTTCTTGAAATAAGTAAAAATGATTTCAAATCGTGTGTCTGCTATCAAAAAATCCCTTTCCATTAGTAAGTCCTTTTGAACAGCAAGAGTGTGGTGGGGAAGTAGTGTTCATATCTTGAAGTTTGTAATCAAATTTGACTGCAACTTTTATACCTCCATATCGAGGGGTAAAGTGATACTTTGACAGCTGAATAAACTAATAATCTAGACAAGCAATCGCAAGTTTATTTTACAAAAGTAAAGGAAACAGTTTCGACTTCTGCATGCCCTTATCTCATTCATTCAGACAATGCGGTGACATCTCCTCGCAACTATTTATTGCTATCGATTTCCCTATTCCTTCAATTTCGATTTCCCGATTTTATGGATTTGTGAAAATTACAATTTATCCAAATTGACTTTCAGCTCATCTGCAAAGCTCACTTCATCGGCGAGCGAAGGCAGTCTTCTTAGGGAAATTAAGAAGAAACTCGGGCATACACTTCGACGAAAAAGCGAAGACACCACAATCAAAACGGTGAGCTAATTCCAAAATACTGGACATTGGCTTTTATTGGATCTTCTTAAGATTTCTGATAGTTCGTTACCTCGCTAGGTTAAAAAAAAGGAATTCAGACTTCGCCCCTAGCTTTTTTAGCTAATCGGTTACTGGTCAATCTCCTAGTGAGCATGGGAAAGCCAGATAATCTGATGATGGTTCCACTTTTTGCAACGTTTTCTCCTTAGAAATGAATGTTGTAAGCTTTCTGTAGGCGGTAACCATCACATTCCGATACATACCCTGTTCGTGTTTCTGTAGCTGAATAAGCTCTGCTAGATTGAGAGTTGGACATTTTTTGAATGCAAAATCTTTAAGGTGAAGTTATCAAAAGAACACTAAATCTTTTACGCCTTGAGTATTTCACATAAACGGGAGAAGTAATAGACATTGGGTAAACAGGAATTTTTTTCTCTGTTTATAGAACTGAAGTTCTGCATTACCGTATTTTTAATGTTCATTATTTGGGAAAGTTCAAAGTAGACTAATCCGACCTATTTGTAAAAAAACCTTTGCGAAAAATAGCAAGTAGCAATTAGAAAAATAGCAATAGCATTTGCACTGCTAATCAGACAGTGAATTTATGAAGCAATGAAATGACCATGTGTTTTCATATTAGGTCGGTCCTACTATTCGTGTCGTTTACAGAGCTGCTCAAAATAACGATAACAAACGCCTATAACAGCGTTCAATGAAATTTCTTCCTTTTTAACAGTGATATGTTTCGTTTCCCTTGATGATCGCTCGAATAATCGTCGGATTTCCAATTCATGCTTTTCATTTACCTTAATGGCCGGCTAATTTCCAGAATTTTCATTTTAAACGTTTGGAATAGCTTTGATAACAAACTAGAAAAAGTGCGAAAAAGTGCACTACAGGTGCGATACACCTTTGAAAACAAGGGTCATGTTGATATTCTTTCCGCAAACTTCACAAGTCGGAAAGAAAAAACACCTGTTGGAAAGAGGAAAAAGCTGCATCTATCGACCAGGGCTAGGCACGAGCTGGCACCAGGGAATTTTTAAAACGAAGTCCCCTTTGAAATTTGCTAATTTTTACGAAGTCCCCCTTGACTTTTGGGAAATTTTACGAAGTCCCCTTTGAAATTTGCTAATTTTTACGAAGTCCCCCTTGACTTTTGGGAATTTTTACGAAGTCCCCTTTGATCCTCAACGATATCCCCTCTAAAATCCCAAAAATCCCCCCAAAAACGAAACGTCGGTCGCCGTCGCCAATCTTGCATATATCTCCGCCCACAAAAACGAAACCCCCTTTGCTTTTTGCCCCAAAAACGATATCCAGCTTGCCCCGTGCCAGCTGGTGCCAAGCCCTGCTAACGACACCTTAGTTGCTGTTCTATGGATCTGAGATGACCAAAGTATGAATTTGCTAGAATCGAAAAACTAATTTTAGCTTGAAAAAGCCAATTGTAAGGTCCAAAAAAATGTTTTGGTTGCTTTGTTACTTTAACTAACTGTTATTAAAGCTCTTAAAACTCTGGAAGGGAAAGTATAAAAAATAGCTGAAATCAGGGCCGCTATAACCATGGGTTAAAGCAGACGATTATTCGAGCGACCAGACATCACTGCTAAGAAGAAGAAGAAATTCTACTCGAACAGCTTGCCATGTCAGAGGGCGCGGATCACCGACCTACCGATTTTCAGTGGCGGGAAGAAAAGCCCGCGTTGACCCCTTCGGCAGGGTATAAATAACGGGAGTCAGGGGGAGGTCTCAAACTGCGCTGAGGAAGCGCTAGCGGGAGCTAAATCCGTCGAAGAGAGGCGGACCTCCCCCTTAGATAGAGTTCATCCGGTAAGCCTGCCGAAGAGGTCAAAGAGGGTAAAGCCCGCTGTTTTGTTAAGCTTGTTCAAGTTACACGTTCTTGTTTTTTGTTGTTCGTTGCCGGGTAGGGGACTATATGTCGCCGAAAAGGGGCGGTCTCCGCGGTCATTTGCAACAAATACGCATCCTTGCATATGCACCGAGATGCATTCTATAAGAAATCCGCGCGGGACCCCTCCAAATTCGGCGACATATAGTCCTCCACCCTTCGTTGCCTTTTTCTAGAGATAAATTATTAGTCGTTCAATCCGTGTAGTCTATCGATCCGGTACCGTTATATCACTAGGCCACCCCCGGTTACATGGGGGCCGAGCATACCTGGATCGATTGAAAACACGGGGCGACTAATATCGACTGTCTCAGAGGCAAGACAGCGTAGAACGCGTAGAACAGGCTAAGAAGGCGAAACCAAAAGACCAAAAAGGCGGGAAATCTATACGTCATCGAGCAGGTGACATACGTAACAGGCCTAACAGGCCAAGAAGGCTAGATCTAAGATCAACTGGAAAAGAATCTCTATCATATCATACAGGGCAACTCCCACACAATTTTTATTGATTGCTTTGGCTTCATAATCCCATTATCGAGCCATTTCGCGTGCGGCGTTGATTATCGATGAATGTAAAGGCAAGGCGAAGCATTTCGCTGCCGAGTACTTCATGTTCATGGATATGGATCAGAAGCAAAGATGTGCAGATGATATCCATGATAATAAAGCACATTGTGTGATGGACGAGATAAGCCTCATCAAACACGAGCTGAAAAAGATACTTGAAATCGTGGGCAAATATTTGAACCGAGGTAGGATACCGGTTAATGGATTGCTACCTGTAAAAGAGGTGGAGGATAAGGTGGCCACAGTGTTAGCTAGGCTGGAGAACCTAACAACCGAGTTAAACTAGATACTCGGTCCCAGAGAAACGGCAGTTGCAGTAAAAAAAGCTCTACCTTCGGAGTCACGGCAGGTTAATGCATGCGGCGGAAGAAAACCTGAGAGTTTGCAGTACCGACGATATTAAGAATACCGAAGTGATGAAGACGGAGCAATGCCGCTCATGTGCCGCAGGGAAATCAAACCTTTTGCATTCAGGCAGTGTGTCGAGAGGGTCGGATGACGGACCACTCGACAATCATTGAGGTGTGGAAGATAAGTTGCTCAGCTATTTTCAAAGCATGGTTTTTCCTGATCCTGGAGTCTTCAAGGGCTGTGATGATCAGGACTTTGACAGATTCATTCGGAAGTTCAAAAGAAAGTATGGTACCATGGCCTAGGATGAACACTTTCCGATAGAGGTCCTGGGTGATAAACACTTGGAAGGAAGGGCAAAGTCCTTATTTCTGAGCATACCCATGGGGTAAGACAGCAAGGCTTCGACAGAGTAGTGAGGGAGATGGCCTCACTACTGGCCTGTGACTCCACAGCAGGTAGATTGAAGGCAGTGACAGCCCTAAGGAGCATGCGCTTAAGGCCAGGCCAAGAGTTCGCGGACTTCTGTGTCGCCCTCGAGAACCTAGCGAAAAAGGCCAATCCTCAATGTAGTGTTGAGGATAGATCGATGGAATACGCGCAGATTCTGCTGGAGAATCTGACATCATGGCCGGAATACGTGCAGCTGGTGGGAATCCTCTACCAAGTGGACTCGGCGTATAATAACATAAGAAATCGCGATTGAGATCGAATAGTCGCGAAGATTTTGCATTGAGAGGAGGAGTGAACAGCAAGCTCCATCCTGGAGGAAGGCAAAAAGAAATGAAGAATATGTGCCAGCTATGACGCAAAGTCGAAGCAGCTTAGAGAGAGAAGCGAAAGGGAAGATGGTATGAGAAGGCAGGAGCCAACGAGTAGTTCGGATGCCTATGATGAGGATCAGGAAGATAAAAGATGCTTCAAATATGGTCACCTTGGACGCGTGATGCGAGATTGTAGGTACAGGGAAACTGAGAATGAAGGCGTCATCAAGTCTTCGAATGGAGTGACATCAAGTAGGGGCCGGAACATGGTCGTACAGAGCTTCCAATCCAACCCATACGGACTTGTTGGCAGGATCACATTGACTCAAGCGAGATTGTTGGGAAGAAGGGTATCGACACTTCTAGACATGGGCTCAGCCATAAGTACTACCTGTGAAAGTGCTTGAGGCGAGGAACGATGGGTGCGACGTCGAGTCACTCCAAGCTTTCGACATTGTGGAAGGAAGCATATACAATGCATAACCATGCGATGAGCTTTCTTGGAGGTGTAAAATTAGAAGTAGAACTAGAAATATGCAAGAAAGAAGTGGCTTCTCACGTTTCGGACGATAGAAATGAGGAAGTACTCATTGGCACAAATGCATTGAAGAGTCTAGGGGTGAAAGTAGTGATACATCAGAAGGATGAATTCAGAGTAAAAGCAAAGGATAGGATGGTGCCTCCACACAAGAGAAACACCGCCACAGTAAGAGCGAAGATCTAACAAAATGCCATAATTGTGAACGGATCTATCGGACAGGTCTGTACCGTCAACAAGAAAACTTTCAGTGAGAGAAAAAGAGATGTCAAAGCAGGCAAAGGAATCTGGCCAGAGGAAGCCTGTGAGCACAAGAGGAAGAAGTCGACATGTAGGAAAGGCGACAGAAAGCACACCCCTTCCAGAAGTGAACGGAAAATGTGCATAGAGGCACAGAAAGGAGTCAAAGTTGGGAAGACACGCAGTGAGGAGGGACACAGTTCTGAGAAGGAACGTCCTGTTGCGTTTATTGCACCAAGACCTGCAGCGGCACTTGAGAAAGTGGGGCTGAAGAAGTGTGGAGTACTGACCAAGGTGGCAGTATCATTCAGTCAACTCAAGGAAGCGTTGAAATATTATTAGGGTGATCGGCAAAAAATGAAGCAGCTTGATGTTTATAACATTTTGAGGTTTTTTGTTCTCACCAACAACACGCAGGCTGCAATTTAAACGTTGCTTATATAACCGACCTTCGCCTATTATTCTGGCAAAGCGTCAACGCTCCTCTCCCCAATCTACGCGTGGCGCCCTAAAGAACTCGAACAGGGTTTTTTTTGAACATCGCTCATTCTGCCATATCGTGAGGTTATAGAGCAATTGATATACCGTTCGAAACAGCTCTTCATGCTCTTTCTAACAATATATTAAATATACAGGATTTCTTTCTATTTCTGGGTAAAAAAGCGAGATACCGAAAAATCGCGATTTTTTGGCGCAACAAAAACCAATAAATCAAGTTTCAATCTGCATTTTCTGAAGATAGATAAAATGTGAGGTATGCTGCATATGGATGGATAGAGCGTAAAGAGCTCTTTCAGATGGTACCTATAAAACATGCGTTCACCTGCAAAGAATTGAATAGCACGTGTGTTTACTTTGGGTGGTCTCACATGTTCCACTGCGCAGATACTGCCCAAAGTTTGTAACTTGTCAAAGTGGCTAGCTTTGCATTTTAGCCACTATAAAAATTATTACGTAAGTAAATGACTTTATTAAGGTATTTTCTAAAAGAGAATAATTTATTCTAACATATACCAAAATTGAGAAGTTTAACGACTTTTATTTTTTGAGAAATCTACACTTATTCTCTAGGTGCCCCATTTTTTACCGATCACCCTAATAGGTTGTTGCAAAAATAATGTCCGTTTTGCAAATTTTGACTTTGGAAGGCTATAACTTCGTTCAGTCTTCACGTTTTTGAATGCAATCAAGATTATCAGAAACAGCAAACCTTTTGTAACTTAGCGCGCACCTGCCCATACCGATATCACATACGGGAAGAAAACCATGCGTCAGAAAACTGAAAGATTTTCTTTTGGAAACCTCGTCTTCAAGAGCTTACAGCTCCCTTCATTAGCTTATTATGTAGCCGCAGGCCAATAGTATACGTGTGTATAGAAAAAACTCCAACGAAGGAGTTGTGCGAAAAGAAAAGATAAAAATTCAAAAATGTTCACTTTTTTGAGCCTAATTGTTGTAGGCTTGTAAGTGCCAAATTATGAAAATTGGGAATTCTTCGCGCACTGAATAGTTAAGTTTAGTTAGTTAATAAGTTTCTCTTCAAATATTGTAGTTAAGGTGCTAATCTCAAGCTTACACAATTGGGTGAAGCTTTGGCGATCGCCTTAATTATGAGAAATTGCTGGACCCTAGAATGCCAGCAGCGACTGTCTATTTCGAAGCGTCAGTTTCTCAGTCCCGATATCTCCAAAAACATAAACACGCATTAGGTAAATCTTCATCCAATATATCTGCTATGTTTTCAGAAGAATTCGTTTATTTGCTCCTGAATTGTGGTCAAGAGAGTGAAGGCTATGAAATTCTGATTTCGAGTGCCGATGTGAAAAATGCTGGTGAAGTTCTCACAGATGAGGATAGCAGCTTAATTCCACCACTACTAGAAAGTACATGAAGAGAGCTTTCCAATGATTTGCAGATGCTACTTCGAAAAAGAAAGCTCGATGGAAAAAAAGTTGTTTGAAATGTAGACCTAGAATAACGGACATTATTTTTGCAACAACTTAATACTTGAAGAACTGTCGTATGTGGATCATAATATGGCCCATGAACTCAAGAAGGGAGGATGAGGATATCATTAAGACATTGCGCATATGCAAGAAGTACCTCGAAGAAGGAGGAAAGATTGTATCCATGTGGCCGCCACCACTGTTCAAGAAGATTGGTATGTGGAAAACGAAGTCAAAAGTGTGGACGGTGATTGACTCAGTACTGAAAAAATGGGCAAACCCAAATCGGTTGTTCACGTTGGCTCCCTCAAGGACAGAAAATAGGAAAGTGACCATGGGACCAGATGGACTCCAAAACTCTTTCAGGTATACGACGCGCATTTCAGGGACGGATATGCACGCTACCTCTACAACGACATTCGCAGGAGAGTTTTCGGTGCAAAGCTCAGCAAGTTGCAGCAGCCGCCGAGGACGTCGGCTCCCCGGAGGGGAGGGATGTCAGAGGGCGCGAGTCACCGACCTACCGATCTTCAGCGGTGGGAACAAAAGCCCGCGTTGTCTCCTTCGGCAGGGTATAAATACCGTGAGTCAGGAGAGGTCTCAGACTGCGCTGAGGAAGCGCTAGCGGGAGCTAAATCCGTCGAAGAGGGGCGGACTTCCCCCTTAGATAGAGTTCTTCCAGTAAGCCTGCCGAAGAGGTCAAAGAGGGTGAAGCCCGCTGTTTCGTTGTTAAGCTTGTTCAAGTTACACGTTCTTGTTTTCTTGTTGTTCGTTACTCTTTTTCTAGAGGTAAATTATTAGTCATTCAATCCGTGTAGTCTATCGATCCAGTTGAAACCGTTATACCACTAGACCACCCCCGGTTGCAGCCAGGCGTTTGTCTATCTTTATTCTGAGTGATTTCGGCATACGTCTGAAAAACGGCACGAACTATCGAACCGAACTAATACTTCTAACACGTTTCGGACGCGAAGTCGCGCGCGGCGAAAAAGAGGTTTCAGCCGTTAGCCAACAAAGGGGCCTGAATTCGTAGACTGCATGCTACATCTATAATCAGCGTGTCAGATAAGATCCATACCCAAAGTTGTGAGCGAATTCGAAGTGTTTAAATTTTGTCGCCTGAGAAGGACTACTATGCTTTTTTGGAAGGAACAACAACCCAGTTTCTAATTGTACCCAAAAGTGTCTATGTTATACATCATACGCATCACTATCGAAACTACGGTTTTCCTCCTTGAATTCGAAGCAAAGGAAAGTTGCGATGTCGCACGCGTCGTTCGCGTTCAATATTTGTCACATGAATCGGGCGACTGTGCGTCGTTTTTTCGAAAAGTCGAGTAGTAGTAGTAGTTGTAAATAGTTAAGTGACAAGAATTCAAAGTATAATTTTGAGCAATGTTAATGTAAAAGATTTATTCTTTTACTTTTGGAATTCGACAAATGATCCCGGAGAAATGGTGGCCAGCGGAGTCAAATGCCAAGATTGCATTAGAAGAGATGCTGACTTAAGACGATTAGAAAACGAAGTTGCTGGGTAATAAGAAGCTGTCTGTTTATAAACATGAACATATTTGAAGCTTCATGCCTACTTGCAGTTTAAAGAGAGAAGTTGAACAACTTACTTTCGAATCGACTGAGTTGGGCACTAACCTTGCCGATGCAGAAACAATGCTCTACGAAAAGGATGAAGCCTTGAAAAGTGTGAGTGCCGACACAGTACAAGGAAAAGTAGCTTGAAACAGTGCCTGTGCTGTTACCTTGTTTGACGCGCACATAGGGCAGTTATTGCAAATCAATCGTCGCCTTCTGTTGGTATAGGGTAGACACGTGCTAACATGCTAGTGTTAAGGCGGAGACGCGGACGGTAGAGTGTTGCAGGCGCACTTATAGTCGATTCATCGCGCGAAAGGACAGGGAGTCACTACAAACGTTGTTAGCGTCTCGCTGAATGAGCGCGCTTTCGCCCTACTTACCGTCTGCTGTCTCGCCCATGGCGAACTATTTTCCTCGGATGCAAAGGCGTTTAGTCTGTGCGTGAGATAAATCGCATGTAAAGTCGACTGCACGAAATTGCCCGGGTCGCTATATGTAGGCTGAACGCACGCAAACGTAACGCACATTTTTGAAATCGTGAAGACGGATTCGGCTGTGGTCTTTGCGCCCACAGGAGCATAAAACACTCATACAAAAAGACATCACCTCAACGCTCAGCTCAGTCACTTCGAGTGCCTGAATACTATCATAATCAAGCATAAAAACCATTCGGAAAGAGATGAAAACCAAGAAAAGGGGGTTCCCAGAAGTGCGCGTGCGTGTCGCGCGCGGTCACCCCATCGTCACGATTTCTCGAATGCCGCATACATGCAATGCGGGTGCCGAGTACGGGCGCTATGGATGACTCATGCGCGCGAATGCCAATGTTAGCCCGCAAGAGACACGCTAGCGGGCGTTTAATCCGTGCGATTCCGTGCAGTCAGCTACTATACCTGCAGAAGACATCTGAAATCCTCAGCGACACACTATCCGCGCGTAAAATGACCGCCATATAAGTTTTTTGAAGTTGGAACAAAAGTATTTCTCTGTAACTTCAAAATAAAAAAATGAAAATTTTTTTGTGACGTCAAAGAAACACACGGTAATAGCTACTGGCTAAGTGCTTTCAGCTGGAACTCACACTGTCACTAGCACAAGAAGGACGCGCAGCGTTAGATGCGGATCTGCGAAGGAAAACAGACGAGTGTCTTAGTTTACTTGAAAGTCTTGAAAAGTGAGTGAACAGGCATTATTTCAATTAGATGCATTTGAAATGGAGGACTTGCAAATGGTTGCAAATGGTTGGCCTCTTGAAATATTAGGTTGTTACATAAGTCTTGTTACACTTTAATTTCTTACGGCAATAAGTCGTGCACCTTATATTCTTTACAGGGCTCCAGGGTACCATTCGACAGAGCAAAGCAAGCTCTACAAGATTGTTTGCAAGAGTTCGCACCAACTTCCACCCACTGTAAGTTTGCATCCAAAATTTGAGTCGTACCCAGGGCTCAAAAAATCGCGAAAAATTTGTGTCTTTGTTTGAAAAATCCCACGGATTTCCAACTTGCTCATAAAAATTGCACATTGTATCAGACACTCATATGTACCGTTCCTGGATTTTCTCCTCGTCTAGAAATTGAGAAAACGAAAATTTTCTCGTTTTTACCAAAATAGAGCTATGCTGTTTCTGTTCATGTAGCTGTATACTACAAGCCCTTAGGAGTATAGCCGTAAAATTTCAACTTTCCAGAAGCCCTATTTTTCGAAAAATACCTGATTTAGCATTGAACCACCGAGCGAAAAAAGCTAAGTTCGGTATTTTCGAAAACTAGGGCTTCTGGAAAGCTGAAATTTTACGGTTATACTTCTAAGGGCTTGTAGTATACAGCTACATGAACAGAAACAACATAGCTCCGTTTTTGTAAAAACAAGAAACTTTTCGTTTTCTCAATTTCTAGACGAGGAGAAAATCCAGGAACGGTACATATGAGTGTCTGATACAATGTGCAATTTTTATGAGCAAGTTGGAAATCCGTGGGATTTTTCAAACAAAGACACGAATTTTTCGCGATTTTTTGAGCCCTGGGTACGACTCAAATTTTGGATGCAAACTTAAGTGGATCGAAGTTGAACACACACACACCACACAAAGGGCCTTCGCATTGCCGGGTTGAACGGCAGATGTCAGTGAAATATGACTGAGCTCTTCTATCACACATCGTTTGCATCATAACAGGCGTAGGGCAGTGCATCATAACAGATTGAGGGCCACAATGGGTGGCAGCATCCCACCCACTGTGGCCCTCAACCTGGCGTCTGAGCGGCACTGGGTTATATTGCGATATTATGAAGCCAGTATATTCTGGCAGGATCTTCTGGGCTGCGAAGAAGTTCGCCGCCGTCGGCTTTTGACCCAGCCGGATCCCTAACTAAGGCAGACCCTACACCCCGCCGTTTGGGTTGCTCTTGTTGAAATTGTTCTTGTTGGAAAAAATCTATTCTCGTTCAGGCAGGATGAAAAATCCTGCATACTGAAGTATGGTGCCGGCAATCAACAAAATCGAACAGATTGCTCAGGATGCCATTTGGATCGACTAAGACAACGTTCAAGCACGATCCGCCATGAAGAGTGGCTCTGTACAATAACAGGATAATCTTTTGTAAGACACACACGTTCTTCTCTACGTTGCAGAGCACATCGAGTGGTACTACACTGCGACGGTCAGGAAAAACGACGCGCCACAAATGAGCAAATGAGTGATTCTAGAAAAGGTGTAGAAGATTGAGACGAAAAACGACAACAAACCTATTGGTCTCTTCTTCGCATAACTTTCTCATGTTAACTCTTGCGACATAGGTGCGATTAGAAAAGATATGGAAAGATATGGAGGAGTGGGACAAAAACGGCAACCGTTTCGTTGGTTTTCTCTTCGTCGCATGAGTTTCTCATGTTAACTCTACCTTCACGAAGGTAATACATCTGTTTGATATCGCTTGAAAGATCCGGGCAAGGTTGACAGTTTTGGGATTCTAGTGTCATGCAGAAAGACGCACGCCATCGCACAATGCGAGGCCATAACATTTGACCAGAAGAAATATGGTTAGGAAGTTGGGAAACTTACGCCCTGGGGAGAGCTGCACCCATCGGATTTTTGCTCCGGTAGAATATTTATGCAACAGTAGAAGTTGTTCTGCGTCTCAGCCGTGGCGGAAGTACACTGGCCAAAGTCAGATTGAACGCCTTGGGACGCCTGTTTTTCGCCATTTTCGCGCCCTCTTACGTGATTTTCGATTCAAAGTTGCTTACCTGCGGATAGCCCCCAGGTTAGCAACTTTGCTTGGGACCGAGTTAAAGAGCTCATATCAAGTCGCGGAAGGGTTTTGCGAGCGGAGGAAGTCATCACGAGAAGAAATCAAGGCGCAGCTCTATTGAGCAAAGGCCTCTAGGAGATTACCTGAGAGAAGAAGAACCTTGAGGCAGGATCAGAATGCAACTTATCTCTCGATCTCGAGCGACGCAGAACGCCAATTGCAGAACAGCGATGAAAGAGGTTGTGATTGCACGTACAAGCGAAGTTACTGCAGCCAAAGGAAGACGACGTCTCACGAAGTGACAAAGGGACCTTCGCGAATGTCATTTATTGCTAGTAGCACTACTAAACGAAGGTGGGCTCCAACTTCTTTCCGACAGAATGTATACCTAATCTATCTATTGAACGCCCGTTGCTTCTACTTTCCGCAGACTATCAAGGACTCCACCCGCTAAATGGGATCAAACTATGAGGACGTCAAAAGAAGACGACATGAGGACGGACCGATGGACCACCTAGGAATTCAGCTGGTTACGCTCGCACTTACTTGTGAAAGCAGCCACACGCCAATGACAATATCGTGATATGTGAAGGAGAGACAGGAGCAAAGCGCTACTCTGTGCTAGGGCCCGCAAGGAATGTGAAGGCAAACTTTCTAATCAACAAGGACCCGAAATCGAAAATAAAGACATCGGAATCTGCGTTTGATGCTCTACAGAATGATACACATTACATTCGGAAAGCCGATTCCGGCTTTGTCCTCCAGTAAGTATTTTACAGGGTTGAGTCACCTTACTTAACTCAGCCTTTTCAAAAGAAACCCAAAGGCAGCGTCCAGGCATATCTCGACCTATGGGGGCTCTCACGTGGAAAGTAATCTTGAGGCACTAAATAAGACTTTGCTAAGCGGCAGTTCAGATAGTGCACTCACGGCTAAAATATTGGGCTCCAAACTATGCCCCGTGACCGTATTCGCATATTCGCGGCGCTCGCGCGAGGATCCACGCGAAACTGTGTGCCCAGCCAGGAATCCATGCGAATACGGTCACGAGGCATAGTTTGGAGCCCGATATTTTAGCCGTGAGTGCACTATCTGACTATCACACTATCCGCTTGTGCAGAGTCTTATTCAGGGCCTCAAGATTCCTTTCCATTGAGAGCCCCATAGGTCCAGATATGCCTGGACGTTGCCTTTGAGGCTGCCGCGCGACGAAGGCACAGTATCTTTGAGCGTGAACGCGGCTTTATTAACCGCAAAATTTGAGCTAGGGGGCTAGAATTTGGCCGAGGGGTGTAATCGAGCATGCTGATCACCCCCACGGGGTGATCAGCATGCTCGATTACCCCCCTGTGCCAACTCCCAGTCCCGTGGCTCAAATTTTGCAAAAAATCGATAAAATCGATATCGATCGATGACGAAAAGTAGCCTATGACACCCGCCGGGGCCCGAAGTGTATGTGTGCTAGGTTTGGTCCCGATCGATTCAGAAATGGAATTTTCTATTCGAAACATACGTACATACAGACCTACATACAGACATACATACAGACATACAAACAGACATTCAGCTTTATATATAAGATAGAAAAGTCCGTCGCCTCAAAGAATTTTCTGTCATTACAAAAACCTTCATACTGGAGGCGCATATGTTTATCAGCAGTGTTCAGTGTAGTCCGGTGAAAGTGATAATTTGTTTATAATAGTAATGAGATTTTGCTATTTTCGAAAATTATTGGGTTGTTTCAAAAGTTCTAGCCGTTTTCGAAGTTCAAATTTGATTCACCATACCTTTTTGAGAATGATCATTGCGAATGCGTTAAAATGTGATACAATCTGCAAATCTTTGGCACTTGCATGCATATTATAAATCATTGCAACAACAAAGAAAAAAGTGTTCTAGACGCGAACTGCCAAGCATATTCAAGGGATCTTTACCTTGAGAAACCATCACTTGATTCACAGGTACGATAGTGTGAGAATTTTCTCACCCCCTTTCACCTCTGAGCCGGGACCAAGGTGACCCCCTTCACCAAAAACTAAGAAAAAAGTCAACAGTGAGGTAAGGTTAAGCGAAGGAGATATTTGTACGTGAATTGTTATGTATGGAAAAAGAGGAGTCTGTTGAAAAAAGTGCTTGGTGACGGGTTTGAGTAGTGATTTCTGGAGATTTTCGAGTTTTTAACGTTAAAAAATTCATAGCTTCTGTAAGTGAACAAACACCTTGTACATCCTGATGGTCACCACTGGAACCGTCTCGTCCTCCGCTTTCAGAAAATATATAGTTTGTCTGGAGTCCGTTAGAAAAAGTGCCGGGTGAAGGGTGGGTGAGACTTTTATAATGGGAGTGCTCAAGTGCAGGCTTTGTTGCCATTGTAAAAAGACGTCTACTTGAGCACTCCCATTATAAAAGTCTCACCCACCCTTCACCAGGCACTTTTTCTAACAGACCTCATGCAAACTATATATTTTCTGAAAGCGGAGGACGAGACGGTTCCAATGGTGACCATCACGGCGTACAAGATGTTCATCTTCAAAACTTAAGGATTTTTCTATCCTAAAAACTCGTAAGTATCCAGAAATCACTACCCATACTCTTCTCCAGGCACTTTTTCAACAGACTTCAAACAAACTATACATTCCCTAAAAGCGGAAGACAAGATAGTTTTAAAAACATTTCCCTTGCTGACGTTGCTGTTCATCTACAGAAGTTACGAATTTCTTCTTTTAGAAAATTTTGTGACTTCTTGATCACCTGAAACGCCCTTCACCCGCAGGGGCTGCCCCCCTTCACCCTGAAGGAGTCATTCTCATCTTATCGTACCTGTGACTTGATTTCGAATGTAGCAGAATTGCGAAAGCACTGCTCATTTTGTAGTCAGCAGACGGGAGCAGTACACTAACTTTGAATTTCGCCAATTCTTCTTGAAATTTTAAGCAGAAAACTTCAAAAAGACTCACTTATTTGGCCTTTTTTGTGGGTGAAAATACTTTTCTGATTTTCTGATCTGGCCCGTTTCTGAAAATGCCAAAATTTTCTTGTTCAACTATATGATGTTCTAGGCCTAGTCTCACTGCATAGAGCAAGTAAATACTTCATTTGCGTTTTGGTTATGATTTTTATGCGATTCATAAAGACAGCGACGACAGGTCATGTTTGCTGAAAGTTTATGGGTACAAAATTTTTGATGAAATCATACCTAGCTAAGCTTTCTGGCACCCAAGTTCCCAGCAAGTATTACATCTGTTTCAAAAAATTTCTTCTTCTAACTTCAGATTTTACGGCAATAAAGTAAAAACGAGTACACATTTTTTGCTGTCCTTTCAAGATACCGAATCGCAGAATGCATAAAGCTCTACAACAATGCGAGTATGTGTAAAATACTAGAAAAAAGGTCTCAAACGATGCAAGCAATGTTAATGAAAAAAAAGGTTTTTCCTTCCAAAATTACCAGCCCAAAAGAGGTACAAAAACGGGTAAAACTTTTAAAACCCAACATTCTGCATCGATTTCCATAAGCACACTGCCTTATCTGCTTATCAGAGGGTGGGTAAACGGAACATTCAGAAAACAACGCTCTATGTTGTCTTTATTTTGATTCTAACCCTTGTATGCACAAGGTGTCAATTATCATTGATCAATGAAAAGTTCAGATTTTTTTCTTTCCAATCATTTTTGATCTTGATTTCTACACTAACGATAATTGAGTTCTTGCAGGCAGCATTGATTACTTCACCATTAAACCTTGGTTTGGCACAGAATCACATTGTTTTAGACAAGTATATTCCAAAAAATGTTCATCTAACACACAGAAAGGCCGCATAGCACTGAACAACAGATTTCCAGAATGTCGACTTCATCAAAGGAGAAACAAAAGGAACAAGAAAATCTTATCGAGAATTTACGCAGTGAACTTAGCGATAAGAACAAGGAATTGGAAAATCACCAGCAGGAACTGGAGAAGAACGAGAAAGAAGTATGTTTGGAAGTAGGCAAAGTGAGAAGGACAGCAGCCTTCCCCTTCCCGCCCCTGTCTTGAGATGGTAATAAATCAAGAAGCTACGAAGCACTCCGACCAGAAGAATTTGCAATATTCATTCTGTAATTCTCTTAGTTGATTCCCATAAATCAATCAACCCCTAAAGAATCTCTGCTGAGCAATATTCGAAGGCGATTAGCCTCGCTTTATCGAGAAATTTTTTGTGCTGTATTACTGGAAAAAAATTCTCTCCTGTGGTCGCTGCAGGGAGTGGATGTCAAGAGCGCGATTTTTATTCCCAGATCACAGTAGCGCATTCTTAGTGGATAACTTTATGAAAGCCATTCCTTCTGAGCAATCATGGAAATGTTGCATGGGTTGTATTATCTTGAGATGCATTCAAAACAAAGTTAGTGGTCAAAAATTTTAAAATGCAAAAAATAGCAATTTCATGAGTATTCCAATCAATTCTGCACCAAAAACCCTCAAACTTGGCGAGTGGTAATTTCAGACAGTTAATAAGCTAGAAAACTTTGTCTGATATTCTTGAAAGTCTTGCATAGCTCAAAATCGGCCAGTTGATGTGGCTTGGGAGAAAGCACGCTTCTTGACCGTCTCCAGCTGTAGAGTGCTTGCCTGCATGAATGTCTCTATTCTAGATATCAGAGTTAAATGCGGCACATGTAGCGACAAAAGAAATTGCCGCAAGTCTTCAAAGCACCGCTTCTTCTCTCACAGAAGAGCTTAATCGCATAGCTTCAGAGGTAAAATAGTTTTCTTTTAGTAATATGCTTCTATTTAAGAAGACTTGAAATTCCTAATTTGCAGCGAGACGAACTCAAGATCAAAGTGGAAAATTTATCTCAAGAATTAGAGGAATCAAAGAAAGCAAGGTAACCTAGAGTTTTTATAAAAGATATTATTTTGATGTAAATTGATGCATGTTTATCTTGCGGCATCAGAGGAGATATGAAAATATAGAAAAAATATAGAAAATACAGTCATTCGATAGAGCAAAGCAAGCTTTAGAAAAGTGGTATTAAACAGTCGGAAATAAATCGATCGACGTGGAGTTTGGAAAAAAACATAAAAAATATTAGATACACAAAAATCAGATTTTCGCCTAAAAAATTTGCGAGCCTACAATTTAGTCACGCATATACTTTAAACATCAGACATTCACATTTACACATGCCGCATTTTTCCCCTTGCACGCAAATTGAGAGTAAAAATAGGCCAAAGGCGAATATAGTCAATTGTCTTTTGATTGTTCTTTATGATGGGATCAACTCGGAGAATTCAGTGGCATTAGACACTTAGACGTCGTCGTTGACGACCAACTTTTCTCTTCCCTTCAACTAGGTCACTGAGAAAACCTTCTCTGTCCTTTTTCTCATATCGATGAGTACCTATAGTAATGATCCGAACGTTTTAGTTAAGCTGTATAGAGCCACAGCTATAGAGTTTTACCACATTCAAAGTAACCCTCCCTATTTGGACCAAACTATCCGTGCCTAAAATGCGTAGTCAAAAGTATAAGCGGATATGCAATGACTTGATATTCTGCTTTTGCATCCTCCGCCTTGAAACGAGGGTGAAACTAGTCAATATTGGATCTTCAGACTTTGCGGGAATCGGCTGGGTGATTTTAATTTATATCGAACGGTGCTAAGCAAAAACTTCCCCACAGCTTCCAACTCACTCGTATGTCGCGCTGCAAGATGGTTCAGGCTTTTACTTAGAGATTTTGACTGACTTTCAAGAATTCTGTTAAGTTTTCGGGAAAACTTGCTTCCTCAGAAGTTGGATTTTGAAAAAAAAAACTTGTTCACACTTTTTGTAAAGAATGTTTGGCTTTTTTGCAACGAGGTAGATGATGATGATTTTAGAATCCAATTGTAGTGGTTGCCCGTTTTAACAGGTATTCAGACAGTTTTGCGGTCTCATCGCCTGGACGTCAGGCAGGAGGCAGCAAAGACTAGTCGCTTCTGCTTTCGGAGGTGCCTAAGGAGCTCCAGACTTTCTCGCGCCTACAATCACTTTTCGCACCTTTGATTACTTTACAAGCAAAAGAATGAAACAAAAGTCTTATTGAAGAGTATCTTATTGTGGACCAAGCTGGAAATTTTGCATTTGTTTTCAATCTCGGCTATAATCAACTACAGCTTACAGAAATATCGGGTTCGGTACAAATTCCTTCAAGATTCGTGGAGTAGAACGTAAATCTGCTGCGAACCAAAGAACGTGTGCTATGAGTGGAAGTTCTTGTTTTCGAAATGATGTAGATGAGAAAAATTTCCAAGAACATGTTCAGGATTCCGGCTTGAAAATTCACTGACCAAGTGTATTTGACGTTGGATGGGGCTAACCTCCATGACCTTTTTCTAGAAATTGCTAAATCATTTATTATGAATTTGAAACGTACAACCTGTATCTGCCAATCTACCACGCTCGAAAAGCCTAGGGACAATGGGCATAGTTTTTATCGAGAACTAGAGGCGCGAGGAAGTCTGGAGCTCCTCAGGTATTTCCAGAAGCAGAAGCGGCAAGCCTTTGCTGCCTCCTGCCCGACCGCCTCATCGCCTCTAACACCACTTGAGGAAGTAATAATTAGCGAACCCTCTTCCTTCAGGTCCCTACAACTCACTCGTGCAGGTTTGTGGCCGTATTCATCAAAGAACCCTGAGGGTAGACCTTACCTTTGAGGGCAAGTTTTACCTCAGAAATCATAAAGCCTGTATTCACAGGTTTTAAGCACAGGATAGGCTTATCAAGGTTTAAACCTACTCTTGGGGGTGAAATACCCCAGAAAGCGAATAATCCGCATTCATCAACAACTCTGAGGGTGAACCTTAACCCAGAAAGCGATTAACCCGTATTCACAAACGTGGCTCATCAGGGTAAATTCAAACCTACCATAGGTCAAGCTTTAATTTACCCCTGAATTAGGATATAAAATTTTTTAATATTTTGTTGGTCAGCTTTGAGTTTATCTAGTTGAGCTACGATGATTTGATTTTGCATTAATCACTTACCGAACGAGTAAATTGGTGGAAAAATTTGAATGAGGAAGTTTCATGAGTTTTTGAGCGATGTTTACCATATCATAACCCTTAGTTGAATAGGTACTTTATTCAAAACTAAATCTCTTACTGTAACATTTCGGCCGAATATGATAGCGGACGATAACATCAAACGAAAACAAGAAAAAAAGCCGTAGGAAATTTGAGATAGTAGTAACAATAAATATGTTTGTTGTCAAAACAGTATATCATGAGAATGGGCGATGTATCGATAGAACACTTGATGTTGGTACGAAGTGACAGAGTGAACCTAATCTTGTTCTATGCTGGGGTTGAGCCAGGGCTCAGCATAGCTGGCACCGGGTCAAGCTGGATATCGTTTTTAGGGCGGAAAGCAAAGGGGATATCGTTTCTACAGGGCGCGGAGAACTGCCGCAAAAATGCCGCCAGCATGCCACCGGCATGCCATTGGCAAGCTGTTCATCAACAAACAAAGGCGTTGTTCTCAGCCAAAACGCAATAGTATGACACCAAATTTGGTGTGTGCATGCGCATTGGTGGACCGGAACTACGGGCCAAAAATTTATGAAAACTTATGTGAATGAAAGCTGTGCCGAACTTTTTTCTGAATTAGCTGGCACCGTGCCAGCTGGGTGCCAGCTGAGCTGGCACCGACACTTTGCTCACATAAGTTTTCACACTTTTTTACATAAAATGTATCTACACTGTAAAAGATTACATACGGAGAAGAAACAGTTTCATAATGTTCTCTTTTCAGCGTTTTATAGCAATTTGAAAACCACTCGGTCCGCTTCGCAGTCGAAAAATCGGCTTTTTCTGCTTCTCAAGATGTGATTCGACCACTTAAAAAGCTCAGAAAGCTATGAAAAGTTCTTTCATGAAATCAGAAATGCATGAAAACACTACTACATTTTTTACATAATATAAAAATGATGACGGGTTTTCAAAACAGGTCGAAAGGGACTTCGCACGGAATTTTTTATCAAACGGGACTTCGTTTTGAAATTTCCCTAGTGCCAGCTCGTGCCGAGCCCTGGGTTGAGCTTACCCTGACGAGCCACGTTCGCGAATACGGTTTAATCGCTTTCTGGCGTAAGGTTTACCTTCAAGGGCATTTACCCTCTTCGTGATGAATACGGGCTAATCGCTTTCCGGGGTAAAGCTTACCTTCAAGGATTCGTTGATGAATACGGCCAATGAACTCTGAGGGTAAAACCACCCTCAAGGGTAAGGTTTACTCTCAGAATTCGTTAATAAATACGGCCACTGATTGTCCGCTCTGGTCAAATGGTTGGCCAGCCCTGGTGCTTTCTGCCACGCTTTGTATCCGGATTAGGGAACAGGAAATCGGATGGGAATACTTGCCTACAGATGAGGGAGAACATCCTGCGCTCCAGCTGGAGACTCTTATCATCTGTCCCTCACGTAATTAGCCGGAACTAATTTGTTTAATTTGTGCTATTGTTTTTTTTCTGGCACAACTTTGGTCTCTTTTTTCGATTTTCAGTTCATTTCAATATCTCTCGAGAAATGCTCGAAAAAGGCTAAGTTTTTATTTATTACTTCGATTTTACTATAGGATCGTCTAACGTCGAGACAGCCCAGCACTGGTTTTTCTAGAGCATTGGGCGTTTGGAAATGTAGATTTTTCTTTCGAATTCAGTGCATAACTTTTCGCGATTGTTCAAGCATCATCTTATAGAGCTTGCTTTGCTTTTCAAATACATTTAACTCCCGTGGTGCGAAAGGATAAGGAAGATACATCAATCTTCCACCAGCCTGTATCAAAATGAAAAATGTGGACTGAAATTCAACGCTTGCAATGTGGGGCGGTTCTTTGAATAGGGGGAGTACTGCTTGACTCGATTCAGTGGCGATTGTGGAGCGCAAGGACTGCTGCAGCAATCCCAGACCCCTCTTCGCAGACACGTAATCAACTTAGCGATAAAATAGTGGCAGTGCCTCATTGTAGCGTCTGCTCTTCTTCGGTTTTCATCAGTTTTTCTTGCGTTATCTACGATTTTTGGTTTAGCCTCATTGACTTCCTCATTGGACGATTTTGTTAACCAATTATTGGGCGTGATTTTTTTTTGTATTAAGCACGAACTGTGTGTGCCTACAAATTTAAGCCGCGCGATTGTTAGGCGAAGCTTCTAGACTGTAGGACCAAAGGAACGGAGATCGCACATCTCTTGCCTTGGTGATGCGCAGTGGATTATCTTGGTAACTTTGTGAATTTCCGATGTTCTGGGACTACAGGTAAGCCACAGAACACTCTTTATACACAAATATTAGGTCATTCCGAAAGTAATTTCGCTTTTTTCAAACGGTCGCCACATTTGATGGAACAAAGGTTTCTAACAAGGGAAGTCACTTAACTTAGGTCGGGCTTTTGAAATGAGACGCATATATTTAGAACCAGCTCGGAACGCTGATTCCAAGTATGCTATCCTTAGCTGCGAAGCGTTTCTCTGAAGCGAGTTATGAGCTTTTTTAGTATGTGGCACTGACATACAACTAAATATGGAAAGAAGGTCTATGGATGGAAATCTGTCCAAAAAGTGGTGGAAAATCAAAATAACATCAAATTGAGTCAATTGGCTTTGATAGGGTATAATATGCATTTGAATCACTACCTAGATGATGATACCGTAGCATACCTAAGTCGGTCAACACGCAAAATTTGCTCAGGAAAAAGCTCATAACTCGCTTCAGACAAACGCTTCGCAGCTAAAGAAAGCAGATTTGAAATCAGCGTACCAAGCTGATTCCAACCATATGTGTCTCATTTCCAAAGCCCGACCTAAGTTAAGTGACTTCCCTTGTAAGAGGTCTTGGATGCATTCGAT